TGTTCTTCACAAGTAGGGCACATCTTGTTCCTGTGGTTCTGATTTTCAGGCTTTCCAGTATTTCGTATGTCTTTCCAAATTGTTGTGTCTTCCTTAACTCTTAATTTTTAGAGACACTGCCACATTTCATTATATTTAACATACTGTAATTTATTCAACTGTGAATATTTAGGCTCTTTGCAGTTTTTTGACATTAGCAATCACTCTCTCTCTCACACACACACACACACACACACACACACACACGACTTTTAAAATTTTTTCTTTTTTCCTTTTTAAGAAGCAACTAATTTATTAAGCCATCATAGGTAAACCATATAGTAGGTTGTAGTCTTCCAACGTACAAATAACGGTGACTTAGAATGATTTCCGTCTCTTCTTTGAGCATGGTTTACATCATTTGTGACCAACGTACAAGCCCGTAGCCTGCCCCGTGCTGTGTTTCTCACGACTCTGCTCATCCGGCTCAGCCGCGATCCAGTGTGCAGCGGTGTCAGGGAGGTAGGAGTTTTGGGTAATCTGTCCTTAGCTGCCACCACACCAGGGTAACTCGAAGTTGTAGTTGTTGTGAGTTAATTAGTTGTCTAAATATTGATCTCATTTATTGATTAAACAAATTATCCAAACGATTTTATGATGATCTAAATTTTTGTCCCCCCTTCCCACTCCAGGAGCTCGACTGACGTTTTGGTTTTGACGCCGAGGATGTGGAAGGTTTTTGTTTGTGGTGCACATCTCTGTACTCGAATTTTTTAAGCACTTACTCCTTACTCTGAATACTCACGACATCGTCTGTATGGTGATCCCTTCCCTGAAGCAGATTTCAGTACGCCCTGCCTCAGTTAGGCTACCGATATGTGATGGCCATGATGAAAACCACCATCATCCCCGACTGCACAGCCTTCTGGGGATGAGCGGTTAGCCAGCCTGGGACTCAGGTGACAGGCATCCAGTTTATTTCTGGGACTGCCTGGCTTGGTCTGACTTTCTTTTTTTTTCTTTCTTCTTTTTCTTTAATGTTTTATTTTTTTCTCAGTTACATGCAAAAACACTTTTTAACATTTGTTATTAAAACTTTTCAGTTCCAAACTCTCTTCCTTCCTCCCTCCCCACCTCATCCCCCTCATTGAGAAGGCAAGTAATTCGATCTAGGTTATACATGTGTAGTCACGCAAAATATTTCCATAATAGTCCTGTTGTGAAAGAAAACATAGTTGGTCTGACTTTCCAGAGCTCACATAGCTTTTTTAATTTTTTTTTGTTTTGCAACTTTTTAATGTATTTATGTAATGATTATAATAAGGATTACAAGAATTTTGAATGTATAGTTTTCTTTTTTGTTTTCAGAAATTACATATAGTTAAAAAAACATGAATTATAACTCATATAGAAACTATCATCATCATCAAAAATAAAAATATATTGAATGCATTCTCTCTATGTAGAAGTGTGCCATGGACTTTGTTTCTTTATTTTTATTTAGTTTATGGAATAAAACATGCAATTCCATAACATAGTATAATAAAAAAGATGAGTGTACATGAAACTACAAATTACTATTCCTTTTAAATACAATAAAATTATCATGTACATTTCTTTTTTTTCTTCCCTTCCCCTCTCCCTACCCTAGAGATGGCTATCAGTAGACACAAATAGTATTTATATGTAAAATCATTCTATTTATTAGTTCTTTCTTTGGCTGCCCACAGGTAGGATCTTTCTTCACACGTCCTTTGTCATTAATTTGGGTATTTATAAGAGTCACAATGACCCATTTGCTCAAAGTTGTTCTTAAAGCAATATTGCCAGGGGCAGTTCGGTGGTGCAGTGGTTAGAGCATCAGCCCTGGAGTAAGGCCCTAAGTTCACTTGACACTTCACTAGCTTGTGACCCTGGGCAAGTCACTTAACCCCGATTGCCTCGCCCTCCCCCCCCCCAAAAAACAACACAATGAAAAACAAACAATATTGCCGTTACTATATACAATATTCCCCTGGTTCTGCTCTTCATTATTTCTTTTCTTGTCTTTTTTTTTTAAAGGTTTTAGGTGATTGGGGTTAAGTGACTTGCCCAGGGTCACACAGCTAGTAAGTGTCAAGTGTCTGAGGCCAGATTTGAACTCAGGTCCTCCTGACCTCAGGGCCAATGCTATATCCACTGCGCCACCTAGCTGCCACTATTTCTTTTTTCTTCATAATGATACTCTTTGTATTGTCTCATTAGTAATTCCTATCACTGGATCAGAAGGCGGGGTTATTTTGTAACTCTGTGTATTGTCAGGTTGCCCGCCAAACAGAATCTGCCAACTTGAGGGAAATTGCCTTGGCATCTGAGGGGAGGGGCTGGAGGCGGGGAGAATGATTGCAGAGTGGCTCAGGAGTCCAGGTGTGAGGTGGTGAGGGTCTTTGGGTGTACAGACAGAAACAACCAAACCTAACAGTGCGTCCAGGTGTGGGCTGAGGTCAGGTGCGCCTGGTGCTGGCGGAGGGCGGAACAGGAAAGCTTGGAAACAGAGGGTGGGGAAGGCACCAAGTGCAGTGTTGGGCGTCGACCTGAAGATGTCTACGCGATGTCCAGTTTGCGATGCCCAGTAGGCAGCTGGTGATGCGGGCTGGAGCTCAAGTGAGATTTTTCTTTATTGTAAACTTGACAAACATCATAAACACAATCATTTCCATATATAAAGAAGCACAGAAAACCAGTATCGTAGACGGCTCTCTGTGGTTTACAGTTTTTAGAAAACAAGAGACGGTGCATTTTGTGTGGCCGCTCCAGGCCGTCCCGAGACTCTTGATGAGATGCCTTCTGCCCTCTTCTCTGCTCGGTATGAGTTTCATGGCCGCTGGCTCTTTCTTTTCTTCTTCGGCTTGGTGATCAGTACTCTCCTCTCCTCCACTACCTCATTTGTCCTGTTCTAGAAGTGTCCCCGGCTCCCTATGTCTTTCTCTGGCATTTAAATTGAGCCCTTCCTCGCCTGGCTCCAGCCTGTCTTTCAAGATGGATTCGACATCAGTTCTCCCTGTCCATGGCCTTCCAGGCGGGTTGTCCTCCTTCCTCACTCGGGACTCTTGTTGTCTTTCCCGCTCCTCCCGGCTCAGCCTGAGGACCAGTTTCTCCTTACTTCCTTCTGGGAACTGCCAGGACCCCCAGTGGTTAGAGCTCATTCTGCCACCCTCCCACCCCCAACTTTGTATATATTTAAATCTAATTGTAATGTAGAATGTGAGGATGTAAGCTGTTCAAGGGCAGGGATTGTTTTTGGTGTTTTTGTCTTTGAATCCCCAAAAGCTGGCCCTGGTGCTAGCACCTAGTAGGTGATTAGTATGTGCGTGCTAACTTGAAGTTGTCCTGCTCTGTGGGTGTGTGGGAGACCAGCAGGCCTTGCTTTTTCCAGGCTGGATTCAGACCGTGTTGGCTCCGGCTGGGCTGGGTGGGTTCTGTTTCTGTCCTCCGTGAATAGTCCTGTTAGACGACCTTGCCCATTATGCCCCGTGGCACATGATTGCTTCTGGAGTTAGTCTTGGCCTCCCCACTGCCCCGGACTTCTCCATGCTTTCCTTGCAAAGGGCTTCTCCAGGTGGTTCTTGCTCTACCCTGAGTACCTTTTACCCGACTGCCTCCTTGCATGAACCCTCTGTTTCTTCCAGGTTGTGTCCATGGAATACACCATGCACACGCTGTCCCTACCTCAAATGACATCCCTCCTCTTCCTCACCAAATCCTGTCCATTCCTCGAGGTCAGCCGCAGTCTCGCACCTCTGTGAATGAAACCTGCCCTTTTCCCACACTCTGGCTAGACTGACTTGTGCAGCTGTGTTTGGTGTTCTTTAACCTGTCACGTGTGTGTCTTATCCCCCCCCCAATGCACCAAGCTTCTCCTCCCATTCCCCCCAAACTGGCATGCCATTGGCAACGTAGCAGGGACCGAGGAAATACTTGCTGATTATTTTTAGGAATGAGGTACTTACCTTTCCAGAGAGAAAGCTGTCAAATTTAGATGGTCAGCTTAAAGGGAAAAATAGGTGAATTAAAAAAAAAAAAAAAGGTTAGGCTCCCTGATGTGTATCCTAGACTAATCTCACCGCTTCACCCTCTGGGGCTCAGTTGTCATTATCTTTGCCTGTTCACTTTGGATCAATTCATCCAGTAACTGAATTTTTCCTTCAGTTCTCTGGGTTTGATAGTGCAGAATCAGTGGAATTTGTAAGTCAGAGTTGCCAAGAAGTCTGGTTGTTCTGTACCAGGTAGGGCAGTGGATAGAGCCGAGGACCCGGAGTTGGAAAGACCCGAGTTTGAATTTGTCTCAGACGCTTCCTAGCTGTGTGACCTTGGGCAAGTCACTTTACCTTAGCTTGTCTTTGCATCTGTGAAATGGGGATGATGATTGAACCTACCTCACAGGGCTATTGTGAGGTAGTAAGAAAATGCCTGTTAAGTGCCCTTAATGTGCTATATACTAGTTATACAATACTATATAATACTAGTTATTATTATTGTTATTGCTACTACTGGTGCTAGTACTAGTGTTACTACTACCACCACCACCACCAATATCACCACTACTATACTACTGGTGTTACTGCTATTACTACTACTACTGGTACTACTACTACTACTACTTCTACTACTACTGGTACTACCACTACTCCTACTCCTATCACCAGTACTGATACTACTGCTGGTACTACTCCTACTACTCCTATTACTATTACTGATACTACTGCTGAGACTACTACTACTGCCACTACTGCTCCTACTCCCAGTACTGGTCCTACTACTTCTATGTCAGATGAAGTGCCAGGCACCGGGCTGAGATCTGGGTGTAGGAATGCAGGCAGATGGGCCAGTCCGTGTTCTTTAGGCGCTCCCCTTTTGATGGGTGAAGGCGACACACCCCGGGCCTTAGAAGCAGGGGAGAAGGCCCCCACGGAGGGCATGCTGGCCGAGTCCAGAGAAGGAGGGGTGACTGACTTCTTGTCGTCTGGGTTTCCGTCCTGCAGGTTCAGGAGAACTCTCCGGCTCAGCGGGCCGGCCTGGAGCCGTTCTTTGATTTCATCATCACCATTGGCCACGCGAGGCTGGTGAGTCCAGGGGCAGGCCCTGCCCCTCCTTCCCCTCCTGGTGGTGGTGGTGAGATGCCCGTGACAGGTTTCCACGCAAGCCCGGGCCTCCCCTTTCTGGGGAGGCCCATGGCGGAGGGCGGGGGTGGTTTTTCCTGTGGGCCTCAGGATGTGCTAACAGGAAGAAGCTTTGGGGGACCCCTCCCCCCTTTCTCTCCCCCACAACAGAACAAGGAGAGCAGCACCCTGAAGGACCTGCTGAAGGCCAACATGGAGAAGCCAGTGAAGCTGGAGGTGTACAGCATCAAGACGCTGAGGGTGCGTGAGGTGGAGGTGGTGCCCAGCAACATGTGGGGAGGCCAGGGCCTGCTGGGGGCCAGCGTGCGCTTCTGCAGCTTCCAGAGGGCCAACGAGCACGTGTGGCATGTTTTGGTAAGCAAGGTGGCCCGGGCGGGCGCTGCCCTCGCCCCCTCCTGGCCTCCTCCTGACCTCCTCCCCCTCGGTTCCCCAGGGCCCGGGAGGTCCTGGCTGTATGTACAGAGCCAGCTGTAGCCCAGCCCCTGGCTCGGTCAGCTCTTGGTCACCCACTGACTCCTGACTCACTACCCAAGAATTCCTGGCTCCTTGGGTTCCACTGTTCCCACTCTACAAATCCTCCGCTTAGCCAGGCCCCTTCTGCCGTCCAGCAGGCCGCTTGACTCCTGCTCTCCTTCCCCGTACGGCCCCCTCCCCATCACCAGTCCAGGCCTGCACCCACAGCGGGCATCAGGACTGAAGCCGTCCCTGCGGGGACTTCCCTCCTCCATCCCTGTGGGTGGCTCCTGTCCTATATCTCATCTGACCTTCACAACAGCCTCGTGGGGTCGACGTTATTCTTACTCCCTAGTTTTCTTTTTTTTTTTTAATTTTTTTATTAATTTATTTTGATTTATCAACAATCACTTCCGTATACTTTTGAGTTTAAAATTTTTCTTCCCTCCCTTCCCCCCTTCTTCCCCACGACGGTGTGCAATCTGATTTAGGCTCTACATATACATTCCTATTAAACATATTTTCACATTAGTCATGTTGTAAAGAAGAATTAGAACCAATAGGAGGAACCACAAGAAAGAGGAAACAAAACAAAACAGAAGGAAAAAAAAGAGCAAATAGTATGCTTCGATCTGCATTCAAACTCGATACTTCTTTCTCTGGATGTGGATAGCATTTTCCATCATGAGACTTTTGGAGATGTCTTAGATCCTTGTATTGCTGGGAAGGGTTAAGTCTATCAATATTAGTCATTGCACAACGTGGCTGTTACTGTGTACAACATTCTCCTGGTTCTGCTCACTTCACTCAGCATCAGACCATACAAGTCTTTCTAGGTTTTTCTCAAGTCTGCTTGTTCATCATTTCTTACAGCACAATAGTATTCCATTACATTCATATACCACAACTTGTTCAGTCATTCACCAAGGGCATCCTCTCAATTTCCAATTCTTTGCCACCACAAAAGAGCTGCTATAAATATTTTTGTACATGTGAGTCCTTTTCCTATTTGTGTGACCTCCCTGGGATATAGCCCTAGAAGTGCTATTGCTGGGTCAAAGGGTATGCACATTTTTATAGCCCTTTGGGCTATAAAATTGCTCTCCAAAATGGTTGGATCATTTCACAACTCCACCAACAATGCATCAGTGTTCCAATTTTCCCACATCTTCTCCAACATTGATCATTTTCCTGTTTTGTCATGTTGGCCAATCTGATAGGTGTGATGTGGTACCTCAGAGTTGTTTTGATTTGCATTTCTCGACTCAATAGTGATTTAGAGCATTTTTTCACGTGACTATAGGTGGCTTTAATTTCTTCATCTGAGCCCTGCCTGTTCATATCCTTTGGCCATTTATCAATTGGGAAATGACTTGTATTCTTATAAATTTGACTTAGTTCTCTCTATTTTTTAGAAATGAGGCCCTTATCAGAGAGACTGTTTGTAAAAATTCTTTCCCAGTTTTCTACCTTTCTTCTAATCTTGGTTGCATTGGTTTTGTTTGTGCAAAAACTTTTCAATTTAATGTAATCAAAGTTATCCATTTTGCATTTCATAATATTTTCTATCTCCTGTTTGTCATGAATTCTTCTGTTCTCCATAAATCTGACAGGTAAAGTATTCCTTGCTCTCCCAGTTTGCTTATAGTATCCGCCTTTATATCTAAATCATGAACCCATTTTGACTTTATTTTGGTATAGAGTGTGAGATTTTGGTCTATGCCTAGTTTCTGCCATACCCTTTTCCAGTTTTCCCAGCAGTTTTTGTCAAATAGTGAGTTCTTATCCCAGAAGATGGGGTCTTTGGGTTTATTCTTACTTCCATTTTACAAGAAGAAACAGAGGCAAATAGACTAAGTGACTTGTCCAGGGGTCACACAGCTTGTAAATGTCTGGGGCAGGATTTGAACTCAGATCTTCCAGACTCCAGGTCCACCATTCAGGTGTATCTGAAGTACCATTTATGGGCCCAGCTGCCTTCAGTCCTTCCCACCTCATGAACCAAATGGTCCAAATCATTCTTTTCCAGCATTTTTCTTCTCTTCTGGATTCTTCCCATCTGGCTGTCAACATGCTCAAGTCTCTAGCTGAGAGGCAAGGTAGCCTCAGCCTTGTCATCTGTAAAATGGGGATTGTATTTTCTGTCGTACTCAACCTCGTCGAGCTATAGTTGAGGTTTGAATGAAGTAATGTCTGCAGAACACTTTGCAGACTTCAGATGTCTGCTGTTATGATGATGGTGACTCTTAGCTGTCTCTACAGGGCTCTCCCCCGACCTTTCTTCCCCCTCCAGCTACTGGCCCATTTCTTCCCTCCCCTAACCTTCAGGTCTTTTGAAAGAGTCGTCTACACTCCAAAGTTCTCCCTAGCCCTGGGGAGTTCCTCGTCCAAGCCTAACACTGCACCGAAACTGCTCGTCCCCCTTTTCCCTAATAATTACAACTTTTAAAAAAAATGTTATCTCGCATTTTCCCCTCACCTTTTTTTCTCAATAAGAGAATTCTCCTTGAAACAAAGAATAAGGAAGGAAGAGGGTAAAAGCCAGTTCAGACCGCAGGTGCTCGTGGTCTCGGTGCAGAGAAGGAGGGACGTTCTTGGAGGCCGTCTTCAGCGCGGCATGGTCGCTGTTGATGGGCCGTGGTTGGTGAGCGCTTCCCCACTGCCGGTCACTTGTCTTTGCTTAGGGCCTGTGGCTTCTCGAGCATCCCTCGGTGGTTCACGTTCTCCCTGGGCTCCTGACACTCATTTACAGCCTTGGTTCAGTTGCTCCCCCATTTGAAGGGTGCCTGGTTTCTCCCCCGACCATGAATATTTCAGGTTTGTGGGGACTTTCCTGCACTGACCTCTGGGATCGAAGCCGTGGTCAGTTTAGTCGCTTTCTCCGCGTGAATCCGCCCGCTCTTCAGCATTGTTTGGCTCATTCTCTGCTCGCCCAGAATGCCCGCGTCTTCTCCCACAGTGACCGTTCCCGTCTCGTCCCTCTCTGTCTCTCTTCTGGTTGGGAGGCCGAGCGTCCTTCATCTGGCCATCCACAGTCTGCCTTCCTCTTTGCTGCCCCCTTCCCCGCAGTCTCCTGTGTGCCAGGCACCATGCTGGGCCCTGAGAGTGCCCTCCCTGTAGGGGGAGACAGCATGGGCTTTCCAGCTCATTGTGTCTTTTTTGGAGCTTGTCTGGCTCAGTGCGCTGGAGGCGCTGAGGGGACGCCTGTGGTTCTTCTGCCTAGGACGTGGAGCCTTCATCCCCCGCAGCCCTGGCTGGGCTTCAGCCCTACACTGACTATGTGGTTGGCTCCGACCAGATTCTCCAGGAGGTAAGAGAGCCCCCGCCCCCTGGGCCTCCTGCCAAGGGTCGGGCCCCTTCCCCCGGGTGAGCAGGAGGCAGACTCGGCCTTGACTTCCGCTCCTCGGACTCTCTGTGTGCTGGAGGGAAGTCCCGTCTGGCCCCCCCGCTGAGGGGGGTGAAGGAGCGTCGGCCTTGGGGCCGAGGTGTTGACGCGTCCCACTTTTCTTTCAGTCGGAGGACTTCTTCACACTCATTGAGTCCCACGAGGGGAAGCCGTTGAAGCTGATGGTTTATAACGCTGAGACCGACTCGTGCCGTGAGGTGGTCGTGACTCCCAATGGCGCCTGGGGTGGAGAAGGCAGGTACTGTCCTGCCAGGGTCCTTCCAGCCTTGCAGACAGGGGTGGGCGAGGCCTTTGAGAGAGGGATCTTGGCTCATCTCCTTACTCGTCGTCACATGGGGCTGTCTTGTCGATAAAGTTACTGCGCCCTGATGCCAGGAAGTGGCAGGAACCCCACTCTTCATTTGACAGGCGCCACCAAGTTGCCATCCGCATCACGCGACTGCCTGGGCTGCTGATTCCCCAGAGGGAGGAGCAGGAGCTGTCTCCTAGTTCCCCAGCCTGGGGAGGGGAGGGGAGGAGAGCCAGGCTGAAAGCAGGAGGACATCCCTAGAGTCCGAGCCAGGCTAGCGAGAGCCCTCTGGGTCCCCAGAGAGCTCAGCCAAGGGCTGGCATCTTGGCGTGAAGTCTTGATTTGCAAACACCTCTTCTGGGCAAGTCATGGGTTCTAAAATCTGCTCAGGCCATGTGGCTAATTTCTAGCAGCACACATTGGACTGAATTAGGGTTCTGGATCTGGCATCAGCCCTGCTGACCAGGCGGGGAGAAGGCCCCTGTCCTAGAGGGAGGGGATGGGGGGACATGGACCATAGGGAAGAAGTCTTGGATTCCATTGTTATTTCTGGTGTCCCACAGTCTAGGATGTGGAATTGGATATGGCTATTTGCACCGGATCCCGACTGTCAGCCCAAAGAAACCCCTGGACACTACTCCGCCTGTGGCCCTCCCCACTGAAACCCTGTTGCCTGGCCTGGGCCAGGGAGGCTACACAGAGGTAGGAGAAGGGTCTGCCCGCCGGGGTCTGTCTGGTCAGGTGGGCAGCCACAGGGCTTCCTTGGTTTTCTCATTTGTCAGATGGATATTTTCTGTGGCGCATTGTATCAGTCGCCTGTAGGGTGGACCAACTTGTATTTTAGTGGGAGGGATGAGAGGGGGGCGCGGAGGACTTGCTGCCATTGGGGTGTTGATAGAGTGGCCAGGGAGACAAGCAGGGAGGTGGGGGAATCTTGGATTTTAGATTCAGAGAGTGAGTGGGGGCTTTGGAATGGCCCAAGTTCTCCTGGAGACTGAGGGCTGGCTTTCAGAACCTTTGAAGTTTCTTTCATTTATAGGACTATTTTAACAGACTTTAGGAATACACATTAGCAGTTTATTTTATGGTAAGGGCACCTCATGTCCTTTTACATTTTTTGATGTCCTTTTACATTTTTTAAACAAAATAATAACTGCAATTTATTCATTCTATGTCCACTTCCTTCTTTGTCTTTTTACTTAAAAAGTATTATGAACTTGTTAAACACAGACATTTCCATGCATGTTTTAGTTTGCCTTCCTCTAAGTCGTAATGATTTGGGTCATTTTCCCCATGGTTGTTGATACTCTATATATAGTCTTCTTTTGAGGCTCGCCTGTTCACATCTTTGACCATTTGTCTCTTGGGGAGTGGCTCTTGCTCTTATAGTATTTATATTAGTTCCCTCATATCTTGACTATCAGAACTTTATCAGGAATTTATTTGTAATTCTGTGTAGATTTTGTTGATGTAAAACCTTTTAATCCCTTGATACTTTTCAAATATTTCCTGAGGCATTATCTGATTTGATTCTCCTGCCACCCCAAGAGATAGGTAGGGCAAGTGGGCAAAACCGATTCTGCCCAAGTGATTTGCAGGAAGTTACGTAGCAGTGCCAAGTCCTTGGCAGAACCCGAAATGGGGCCTGCGTCTTCTGACGCAAGGCTAGTCTGGTGTCACTGTTACTTGGACTGTGCCTTTGGGACAGGAGTAGATAGAAGTGTGGGCAAGGAAAATGGAGGAGGGGGAGGGGACTCCCAAGGTACCCCAGGGGAAGCTGTAAACCCGGCTGACGGCCTAGCGTTGGTCATGTGCCGTTCTCTGCGGTGCGTGGCTTCACATTCTGTCCGCCCTGTCAGCACTGGATGGCTGTCTTTGTTGCAGGCTTTTCTGCCGGGGTTCTCCAGCGTGGGAGAGTCAGGTGAGACCTGAAAGTGCAGGGGGTGGGCTTCACCTGGCTGTGGGCGGAGGGGCGTTCTCCTTGCCTTGTCCACAGAGGTGGCCTCTGGTGACCCACCCAGAAAGGGCTGCTTTCCCTGCAAGCACCTCTGGGGGCTCCCACTGGGCTCCCCTTTGTTTTCTGTGATGGTCACTTTTACACTTGGATGCTTGTTGTTGTTATTGGCAGGGCCTGCTCTGAGGGGCTGAAGGGGTGGGGGCAGGGGCGTGGGCTAGTCTTTCTTGTGGTCATCACCGCCCCAGCATCGTTGTTCACCTCAAAGGACAAAAAAGGGACGATGGCCCCATGGAGGTTGCCATAGCTGTGGTCCCACCAGTAGGAAGCAAGACTCACGCTCTCTTGGGTTCTTGGTGATTTTTAGGCTTCGCTGCAGGCACCAGATTCCCCATTTGATGGGGCTGTGGACGTCCTCGATGTGGACCAGTCCTCAGCCTCAAGGACGGATGCTTATTCCATGGAGACGTCGCTTCAACCACCTCCCCCTGTCCAGCGAGTCATGGACCCAGGTATCTGTAAAGGAGACGGGGAGACACGAGTACTTCCTTCTTTTGAAAATAGTTTGTTGATGTATTAGCTTTTTATATCATCACCACTCCCCCCGTAAAGGGAACCCTTTATTACCACAATGCCAGCAGCAAATAGTGAAACAGAACTGAATGTTACGACAGTGTCTGACAACCGGGCAACACTCTCCCTGCATCGGGCGTTACTGTTATTGAGATGAAGGAAGGGTAGGCGATTTCTTGAAGAAATCTTGAAGATTTCTTCCTCGTGACACCCCTGAAGATGCTATGCCTCAGAGTGGCTTCTGAAAAAGAGGAGCATCTCAGATAAGGCCATCAGATACAGCTCTGTGTGGGAGGACTGCGTCTGAGAAAATACCCACCGATAGCAGCGCATCCGAGATGCCTCACCGTAGGCGGCCATCATGCTCAGTCAGTTTTTACAGATGGTGGCCTCCCCGTGGAGGGGTGGGGTGGGTGGTCGCCTTTCCAGAGTCCTCTTTTAGACCAGCCTGTGACCCCCAGTCCCCGTCCCCACTCCACCAGGCTGCCATGTTTATTTTCTCCCTCACTTACCGGGTTTAGAGCTGTTCCTGCCCAGCTCTGGGCTTCCGTGGCAGAGGAGGGATATTGCCGCCTTCTTTTCCATCATGTCCAGTTTCTGTCTTCTCACTCCCAGCAGCTTAGAAACACTCTCTTTCAGTGTCAGGAGTCCGGATGGTCTGGCTGGTCTGCAGTCAGGGCTCGTCATTGAGCTGGAGCGATGAAGCCCAGGTTCCCTCTTCCTTCCTGCTGAGTCCCTTAGTCAAGTCTAGACTGATAGGGAAATCAGCCGCATAGGAAAGAATTTCAGTGTTCAGGGGACAGTGTTTGGGAGGGAGGAGGCCCTCAGAAATGACTAAAGAAAGGTGAAGGCTCAGGAGAGGGCAGGGAAGTTGGAGGGAGGCTTGGGTCCAGTGGGGCCTCGAGTACTTGGATTGGGGGCAGTGTCTCCCATGGGTGTCTGAAGGAACGTGTTCCTCTTTCTCCCCAGGGTTTCTTGATGTTTCAGGTATCGCCCTTTTGGACACCACTGATGTCACACCCCTGCCCAACACAACTTCCTCTGTCTCCCTCCGCTCTTTGGGGGAGTCTGTGATAGGAACTGAGGGTGGCCTCCCCAGCACAGAGCCACTTGTATACAAAGGTGAGTGACCCCTGGAGCCTGGTAGAGCTACCCAAACTCCATTCCTTCCTGGTCGATAGGAAAGGGGTAGGAATTCTTTAACCGGCCCACAGGTGACGTGGAGGGCCATACCCATTGGAGGGTACTCCCTTGCTGCCCTGTCCATGGAACATGGGCCGTGGGCCTGAGCCATATGCCCTCTCATCGAGTCTGCCCAGTCAGCACCCACAGAATTTTGAGGGCTGCAAGGGACCTCAGTGGCCACGTGTAAAAAAGTTTGCCCAACTGCAAATGTGACAAGGAGCCTTTGCTTGGAAGCCTCTAGGGAGTAGAGCCCCTGCCTCCTGAGGCAGCTCCAGTGGTGTGCAGGGTCTTCCAGACCTCCCAATTCAGATGGCCTCTTGGTCGCTTTGACTTTGTGCTCTCTCTGGGGCCCAGCAGAATGAATCTCCTTCCTCTTCTGGGTGACGGCAGTGACTCCATCCCCACGTAGTCCTTTCTAGGCACAGAGCTACTCGGTTGATCCGTGTCTGGCATGGAGTGAGCCTTTTAAGGCCCTTCCCCAGCCTGTGTGCCCTCTGGTTTGCTCTCTACCATCACAGTGTCTTTCCTAACCTGGGGCGCCCAGAATGGTGCTCACGATGTGATCTGACCAGGGTGGAATAAAGGAGGATTCTCCCTCCCTTATCCTGGATACTCCGAGTCCTAGAACACTGCCCATGATGGCATTAGCCTTCTAGGCCACCAGGTCACCCTGTGGGCAGCTATCAAGTTTGTGGTTCACTAATCCCCCCAGGTCTTTTTTAGACAGACGGTTCTCTAGCAATGTTGTCCCCATCTTGGATTCATGGAAGTTAGATTTTTGGGATTCACATTTATCCCTCATTAATGTCATCTGATTGAATTTGGCCCCGCATTCTGTCTTGCCAAGGTCTTTTTGAATCCTGACTTTGTCACCAGTGTGTTAGCTATGGTTTCCAGTTTTTTGTTATCTGTGAACTGGATGAGTGTGCCCTCTGCCTTTATTCAGATCATTGACTGAAATGGTAAACAGCATGGTGCCAGCCAGGGATCCCTGGGACCTCCCATCAGAGATAGAGCATTGGTGACTGTTCTTTGGTGACTGGCCTTTCCTCCAGGTCCACTCCGCCTAACTGGCCTTGTCATCTGGTCCACAGCTCTCCATGTTTTCCATGAGAATTAAATGGAAGGATTCCTATCGAGTGCTTTGCTAAAGTCTAGATAAACTCTACTGAAAGCATCCTTCTGATCTGCGGCTTTAGTCAGCCTGTCCGGAAAGGGACATGGTCAGTCTGGCAGGACTTCTCCCTTTTCTGGATGTTCTCTAACCATCCCTCTACTAATAGGTTCTAGAATCTTGGCAGTAACTAAGAGTCAGGTCCAGCTTCGAGCTTGTAGATGGGGCCATGTGCCCTTCTGCAGTTCTTCAGGACGTGTTTGTTCTCCAGGATTGTTCCACGAGCTCTGATGGGGTGTGCACTCACAGCTGCCCCATCTTCTAGGAGCGAGGCTGTCGTTCACCTGCGACAGGACCGTGACAACGTCAGGGGCAGCTCGATGCTCTCGCCAGCCCCCTCCTTAGTTGTTTTGTTCTCTGGTGCCAGCGGTCACTCTCTTTAGCAGAGAACAGGAGAAACAAGAGCTGAGCTCTTCTCTCTGCTGTCGGTTCTCATCTGCCCACACGCCCAGAGCAGAGTTCCCGCCCCTTCTCGGGCAAACCTCTGTTCCCCAAAATATCCCAGAAGAGCCTTTCTTGTTGGCCCTAGCTCTCGTTCTCAGGCCCAGCTTATTCTGAACTCACTCTCTAGCATAGCAAGATGCATATTGGACTGTGCCAGCCTGTTGGGTCTACCTAGTGACCCCCATCTTGGCTTCTGCCTTCAGTGATGGAGCTTCCTCTGTATCTGCCTCAGGCTCTGTGGACAATTCCTCTCTTTCCTACTTTTTGAAGTTGTTTTTTGTGTCTTCAGACATTCATTATTGAGAGAGTCCCATCCCGTGGGCCGATTAAGTTTTACTGGAATTAATTACCATCTCTGCACTGACCATTCTCAGATCTACCTGGTCTCTCTGCTGACCTCCAATCTTGCTTTTCTGAGTGTCTTTCAGACATCTCAAAGTGGATGTCTAGTAGACATCTTAAACTCAACATGTGCAAAACAGAATTTATTATTTTTCCCCCAAATCCCTTTCTCCCCCGCTTCCCTGTTACTGTAGAGGGCAACACCACCCTCCCAGTCCCTTAGTCTCCCAATCTAGGAGCCAGCCCGGATTCCTCACCGTGTGCCCCCTGGCCCCTTATCCAATATGGTGGCAAGGCCCATTGATTGTACCTCTGAAACATCTCTCTTCTGACACTGCCACCCCTGTGCAGATCCCCGTCACCTTACGTGGACTATGGCAATAGCTGCTGGTGGGTCTGCCTGCTTAGGGTCTCTCCCCACTACAGTGCCTCCTCCACTCAGCTACTCAAGTGATTTTCCTAAAATGCAGGTCTGATCATGTTACCCCCCACCTCCCCTGCCCTCAGTAAACTCCAGTGGCTCCCTATTGCCTTTAGGACCAAGTAGAAAATGCTCAGTTTGGCATTCAGGGCTCTTCATGACCTGCCCCCTCCCACCTTTCCAGTCTTCTTACACCTTCCTTCCCAACACAGACTGTGGCCCAGTGATCCTGGTCTCCTGGCTGTTCCATGCACAAGACCCTCCATGGCTCGGCTCTGGGCATTCCCTCTGGCTGTTCCTGTCCCTGAACCGGTCTCCCTCCTCCACTCCTGACCTTCCCAGCTTTCTTTAAGTCCTGACTAAAATATCTTCTCCAGGAAGCCTCCCCCAACCCCTCTCAATTCTCATACCTTCTCTCTATTAATTATCTCCTGGATGGACCTCGCTTTGTCTATATTTGTTTACGTGTCTCCCCCATTAGATTGTAAGTTCCTTGAGGACACAGACTGTCTTCTGGCTCTTTTGGTATATCCAATGCTTAGCACAGTGCCTGGTACATAGTAGGAGCTTAATAAATGTTTACTGACTGATTTTATCTCTAGAATTTTAATCTTGAACCCTTCGAGATCTGTTCTCCTAAATCTCAGGTGCTTGTTAGACCCTTCCTAGCTTTCTTCTCCATCTCAGTCCTAAATTCTAACATGAAGTGGTGCCTCATGGTTTCCACCCCAGTAAACAGTTCCTCTGCCCTCCATTGGTGAGAATCGGGCACAGAACAGAAGTTCCCTTTTCTGGTCCCTGTACCTTTAGGAAGAAGTTATCATCAGGGCAAATCAAGTCATTGTTGGTGCCATGCTTGTTTTTTTTTCTTTTCTTTCTTTCTTTCTTTTTTTTTTTAAAAGGCAATTGGGGTTAAGTGACTTGCCCAGGGTCACACAGCTAGTAAGTGTCAAGTGTTTGGTCTGAGGCCGGGTTTGAACTCAGGTCCTCTTCACTTCAGGGCCGGTGCTCTCCACTGTGTCACCTAGCTGCCCCTTGGTTTTTTTTTTTCATAGAACAAGCATTTATTTCCTCTTCCCACCTGCCGTAGCTGCTCTTGCAGCGAAGTCCCCGTGACTGAAGCGTCCCAGCTCTGTGCCGGGCCTGCCATCTTGTTAGTCTTTAGGTCGGCACGGCTGCGATGCCCCAGGAGACTGTGTGCACTCGTCTGGTCTCTGCCTCCGTGGGTCTTCACCTAGTTGTCCTCTGCTCTGCACCCTCTGAGGATATGGTGCTCACCACCCTCTTCCCTCCTTTGTTTTTTTAATTTAACTGTTCTTTGAGATAAAGATCATCCTTCCAGAGGGTTAAGACGAGGCCTCCAGTCCCTGCTGCTTGCTGCCCATGCTGAGTAGGAAGCTGGAGGCCGGGGTTTGCCGTGGTGCGTTCCTGGATCTCGTCGGCTTCTGGGCATCTCGGCTCTTCTTCCATTTCAGCCGCTCTGCTTGGGCCTTTGGGGCCTTTTTCTTGGGCTTATGCAGGCAGAGCTAGAAGGAGCTTGGGAGGTTGAATTCACCCGCCTCGCCTCCCACCTCTCCCACTGCCCTCTTTTTTTTGCGGGGGGGGGTGAGGTCAATTTGTGGTTGGGGAATCCCTCCAGCGGTGCAGGTGGCCTTTGTACCTCCAGTGCCTGGGAGTGTGTAGGTGCTTAGTGACCTTGGCATTCTTAAAAGGCTGATGGAAACCACTGATCTAAGCTGACATCCAGAGGGCCAAAGGTAGGCCAACTGGCCGCTGGGGATTCTGACCACGCGGCTCCTCGCCCATAGCGGGTGCTTAGTGCGTGGCCAAGCAGAGAACAACCAGTGCCTCAGAACTCAGAGTTCTGAGGGTCAGTCTCTGAGATTCAGGCTGGAGTCACTGACGGTGCTCCAATTTTGACCTGCTGACCAGAGTCCACAGTGACCGTCCCAGGTACTTGTGGTCAGCGGGCCCTGCCCCATGTCTGACCTCCCAGTTAGGATATCTTTCTTAACTGTTGCTGCCATTTATACAGTGTCTTTTGTCTTTTCCTAATTAATTACCAAACTCACTGTCTTTCAGATGAAGCCACAGGGTTTGGGTCGGACCCTGAGGGCTCTGTACTGAATGGCTCGGGGCCACGTTTGCAGCAGCCAGATTCTGGCTCACCTGTGACCCTTCCCAACGACGTCTGCTCCAAGGCAGTGCTTGAGACCGATGAAGCCCCCGACCTTCTACCGGCCGAGGCCGACGTGCCACCTGTGGAGGAGAGCAGGGTGCGAGCTGAATCAGAGGGGGCAGGCACTGCTCTCAATTGACGCACCTGCACAGCTGGCCCCCCACCCCTGGAAGACTCCCCTTGGCTTCGCATCCTCCCGAATGTCCCCACGCCTGCCTGATTGAATACCAGTGACCTCTGGTGATCACAGTTCTTGCTGTGGATTGGGAGACTGTGTATGGTCAGGAGCCCATGGCTCCCAGGGCTGTCCACAGCCCCGACTTGGCTTCTCTGCTGACCTTCAGAGCCTTGGGCCTTAACAGGGCGTGAAGGACACGTGGACTTTGTGTAATCAGAGCCCCCTGACTGAGTTCCTGGATCTCTGGGGTAGGAAAACAAGTGGGAGAACCTTCCAGGCCCTTCCTGGGAGGCCCCCCTGAGCCACAGATAACAGGGAGCATTAGAAGCCTGGCTTAGCCCTGGTATCAGTTTTTTTCCACCATTGTGGCCCAGGAGGTGATTCTAAGCAGCTGGCCCATGTGAAGGGCCTGGACAAGGAAGCAGCAGGTTGCTGATGAGCTGTGGGGCCTTCAGGAGGCATGGGTTCAGGGGGAGATCCCAAGGGGCGTGAGGCTGCACCTCGCCCCAGGCACAAGGTTGCCCAGATGGGACTGTCATTAGGGGCTGCTTTTGTCTCACAAGGAGGCTTGCTGTCATTCAGTCTGGGTCTAGATTGATTATTTAGAGAGAGTAATAGAGGCAAAGCCCCCCCAGAGGGGATGGGCTGCACGTTGCAATCATGAGGCGCAGGGAAAGGGGAAGTGGCTGAGCCGCACTTCCGACCGGAGGGACCCTGGTGCAGGACGTGGGGTGGGGCTGGCCCACGCTGTCGGGGTGACCCCAGGGGGTATTCTCGGGACATGAAGGACATAGGGGTGGGATTTGGGGGAGGGATCAGTCCTTTGTTCTCCCCTGGTGTGAGAAGCACAAGCCAACTGGATGGATGATGGCCCCCCCCCTCCCCCCCCCCCCGGCGGGAGGCTCATGTTTTTGTGATTCCCACTTCTGGGGTGGAGTGTGTGTGGTGCTGGTTAACACTAATCTGATGCTGGGTGGGTTCCTTGGCCTTTCGATAAAGACGTTCAGTTTGCCAGGGACTGTGCTTGTTTTCTTCTTGGTTCTGGTGCACAAAATCCGCGGGGCCCGTGGGTGGGAGGGGAGATGGGACACAGGAGGGCATGGTCCCTGCGCTCACCCAGGGCAGAGTAAGCCAGGGGAGCCTCAGATGCCAAGCAGGCATGGGATGCGGGGAGGGAGATGGGGACGGAGCCAGGCCCGATAATGGGGAAGCTCATTTCCAGGGATGAGGCTCAGAGACGAGGATGAGAAGATGTTCAGGGAAGAGCACAGAGGTGTGGATTTATCTGAGGGGACGGCCCGGCGAGGCTCAACCTAAGCTCATCCTTGTCCAGGGAAGGTCGTGAGGCACTCTGTGGTCCACTCGATGAGGTCGCTGCAAAATGCTCAAGATCGTGGACTCCAGGTGGTCCAGCTCAAGCTGGCTGCCCGTGTGGGGGCCTTCTATGATGAAGTCACTTGGCCTCGACCTGCCCCAGTTTGCTGACAGCAGCACCTGCCTCTTAGCAGGGCTGGGAAGCTCGGATGAGATCCTGTTTGTCAGAGGCGCTTAGCATAGGGCTTACGGGGCACACGGTAGGTAGTTCTTTGCCCCTTCTCCCAAATACTTAATTGCTGTGGGTCCTCAGGCATGTTACTTTTCATGCCTGGGTCTGGACTTGGTCTTTAGGCTCCCCCAGGCTCTAAGTCAGGGACCCGACGATCTTAAGAATGGACCAGACATTTGAACTTGGACCCTAAACTGAAATGGAACCTTGCCTGAACACCGAGCTACTTAGTGGCAAAATGTGGGCCAGGACCCATTTCTTTCCTGGGGTCAGACCTCACCTCTGACTGTCACTAGCTGTATGGCCGGGGCACGTCTCAGTTCAGGTCCTCTGCAAGACGGGGATACAGACCGCCAGCTCAGGTGACGCTGCTGTGAACGTGTGCGATCCTCCGACGCTCTCGCTGCTTCCCGGATAGGCTGCTTTGTGACTGATGGTAACCCCCACAAGACACTTCCACGTGGAGATTTTGGGGAGGGGGGAGAACAGTCTTTTTTGATGCATATGGTAGAGATAGGTGTCGATCACTGCTGCCCGGCCTCCCCAGGCCTTGGCACGGGTGCCCTCCAAGGACACTCCTGTCTGAAGCCAAGCTCTCCACAGGGATGCGGTCACAGCCTTGACTGCTGTTGCCATCAGCCACAAATGCACCACTTGCACGTTCGTGAACTCTGACGTTCCTTCATCTGATCGCCATTTGTTATCGTCCCGTCCTGCCTGGCGGCCCCAGACTCTGCTCTTCACTCGCTGCGGCACCAAGTACACTCCTTGTCTCCGCCAGCAGACCGCGCCCCCTCTCATCCACACACAGCCGCCGGTCTTCGGTCTCCCCCACGCTCAGACAACCTTCACTTGCACCCGTTTGTCCCCCAGATGCTCCCTTTGGTGGCTAACCTTCGGAAGACCACTTCCTCTCCTTTCACTCTCTGCAGTTGCTTCTGGCCTTACCACCGATCCCCCAGTTACTAGCGGTCTCTTTAATTTTTCTCAGTCCTCATCCTTTCTGACCTCTCTGTGATCCTTCATCACCTTCTTCTCCATAGGTTTTGGTGACACTCTGGTCTCCTGGCTCTCCTGCCTCTGAGTTTCCTTTGGTGTATCTCCCTCCATACTTTCTCACAATTGGTACCTGGGGATTCAAGAATCATTTCTGTGCCAGTGACTTTCAGATCTATTTGTCCTGCCCTAATCTCTGCTGACCTCCAATCTGGCATCTCCAACTGCTTTTCAGATACCTCTGAAAAGCAGATGTCCAGTAGACGTGTCTAAAACCAAGCTCATCTTTCCTTCAAAAGCTGCCCACTTCCTCCCTTCCCTGTTACTGTCCAGGGAAGGCATCACCAGCCTCTCACTCATCCAGACTCGCAGCTTCATCGTCGCCTTCCACTGTTCATTGCCCCTCATGCCATCCATTGTTAGATCCTGATCATGCTAACTTAAACCTCCAACCCTGCCCCCTCATCACCTCACCTCTGCCTGCCTCAGGTCTCTCCTGCCTCTAGTCCGACCTTCCTTTACTCAGTGGCCAAAGCGTCAGGTCTGACTGTGCCACCTTCCCCTTCTCCCTATGACCTCGAGGATCAGATAGAACATCCCTTCACAACCTGGCCCCTTCCTCCTTTTCTAGGCCCCTCTGCATACTCTGGGATCCAGTGACGCCACTATCGTGGCTGTTGACCACGAACAAGACCCTGCATCTCTCTCAGATCTCAGCTAAGATCCCCTCGGTGCGTGTACTCTCTCTCACCTGCCTGTCGCTGCTCTGTACGTAGCCATTTGCATGGGGTCTCGCCTGTTAGATCATAAGCTCCTGGAAGGCAGGGGCTGTTTCTACCTTTGTGTCACTGGGCTGAACACAATTCCTGGCACACAGTTAAGTGCTTAAAAAAAACCAGCTTGTCTTTACTTTAGTCGGTTCCTCACATCCCACAACCTCCCCCTTCTAGATTTAACTGCCCTGATCAACAGATGGCAGATAATTCTAGCACCAACCTGAAATCAGGGAACTTAAAAGACACAAAACTGTTTAAAGGGGAAAATGGAGACAGTGAGTTAAAATAAATGCAACACAAATCTGAAATATTTTAACTAAAGCCTTTTATTCTATACAACTGTGAAATACAGATTATTTACCCTTTTGGCATTGCAGACTCTGTCAAACTTTCCTGAAATTGCATTACTGAGTTGGTTAGAAGGAAAAGGAAGGGAGGGAGGGGAATGAAAGAGAACCCTGGTGGAATTTAGGTCCATGAAAGTAACCAGGAAGCAGCGGCTGTAAGACTTCGGCCCCCATAGGATCTGGAAGAACTCCCTTCCAACAGGAGAGCGGCCCCTCCTGCCAAGAGGATTTAGGATCAGGAGCCAACTGACGACTTCCCATGGCATTTATTTTTTCCGTTTAATTCACAAACATTGCTAAAAATGTGCCACCACGGCACACGAGGCATCACACCGAATACCCCGAGGAGCACATCCGAGTGGCCTGGAGAGGGAGCACGGTGTGTCTGTTTAGCTCCTGCGAGGGCAGGAGGCATGAGCTGGCTGCTTTCCAAATGACGCCTGATGGGAGTGAGAGAGCTCAGTCCTTGCAGGAGTGTGAACCTGCACCTTGTGGCCCGAGTGGTCTGCTGCCCCACCCCCTTCCCCAACACCCTCCCCTCCCCCTCCCCTACAGGAGGGGCGGGGGCAAGGCCAGGAACAAACCACCCTCCAAAGGCACTTGTGCTTCTGGCTTGGGGCAGTTGGGGTGGACCTCGGATCTGTTCTGCATACAAACAGCCTTTGGGGAGAAGCCAAAGTTACGTTTTTTTTCCCTGCCAAAAGTTGAAATGTTTTTTCCCCAATAAGTTAACTCTATACAAGACCCAGATGACTGACCGTATGAAAGCTTTAGATCATTAGAAAGAACAGTGAAAAGAAGATCTAGGTATAACAACAAAAAATGCATATAAAACTCTGGAAAAACAAATAACTACTTTCAGATTATGAACATCAAATTAATCTGCTATGATATTTCTTTACTCCGACATAAATTCTAGGTGACATTTAAATGAAGCTAAAATTTCAGAATGCTCTTAAATTTTAACAAAGTTCGGGTTTCCACCTGGAGCTGTAACCTGAATTTCAGCTGGCGAGAGTTACAACTGGACACGGTGCAGGAAGGAAGAAACAAGACGGCTAAGTTTTAATTACATCCTGCTGAAAAGTGTGTTGACTCCATTATGAGGCCCAGCATCACTGGACTGACCCTGCAACCGTGTTTCTGGAGTGTTCTGACTCAGGATTTCTGAATTCCAACAGATCTTTCTACAGGAACACATCTGAAGTACAGTATTAAAAAACAAGTCTAATATTGACCCTCCATTTTGTAATTACATGGGCTGCCCTCAAGGGTGCAAAGGTGTTTCCCCATTTTAAAAAAAGATCTTGTCTTTAGTGAAAATGATTTGATTTTTTTTGAATGACCAGCTTGAAAGGTCATTGCAGGTGCTCTCTGAATGGAATGTGCTTTAAAAAAAAAGACGAGACATCGTGCAGGTCTGAATTACATTTGGAACACAGTGACAGATATGGCCCTCAAGTGTCTCCTAACAAGCATGAAGAGACGAAGATGAGTCCCTGGCAGGCGCTCCTCGCACCCCTCCCTCCACCTGCGCACGCTGCCTCCCTTGGGACAGACTGGAGTCTAGGCCGCAAAGACTGTGTTGCTATATTACATCTCTATTAGTCACTTCAGGTAAAGGGGTAATCTCGGTCCGTACCGAATCGATCCTTAGAAGTCTCGCTACTGTGGGGGTTCAGTGGGCTTCACTAGGTAGTACTACTCTCAGGACCACAAGAGGAAGGTCAGTAAATGAATACCCAGGAGTGTTCGCCCTCATGGCCTCACGTGGACTTCTGGCGGTAATGGAGGGTGAGGTCACCGCCACTCTTCCATATGAAGTGTTTTACTGTTCGAAGGTCCATATTTGGGTCCAAAACCTGAAAAGAATGAAACGGTGTTGAACCTGGGTGTCTGGCTCTCCAACTGGGCGGGGGTGGGGGATGGGCATCAGGGAAGGTGGTTGCAGCTCCAGCATCCCACAACACCCAGTACAGTGCCCTGACACATAATTAACGTTGGGTGGGGCAGCAGGCACGTGTTTGGTTCTATCTTGTGCTCTGATGAAGACGATGGAAGAGTCTGCGTTCTGTGCAGTGGCACCGACGTACCTTCCCCCAACTCTAGGGCCAGAGATGACAGAGGCTCCAAAGGGAGGCTGCCAGTGAGCTTGCCAGCACACCCGAGTGCCTCGAGCCTTGGGCCCCAGACCCCAGGGAGACTGATCATGCCCTTATGCTGCAAGGGACAGGAAAATCCAGAGCAAAAGCAGCCAGAGCTGCCTAAAGACCTTGGTGAGGAAGCATGCGGAAGGCAGCCCCGGCCAAACCAACCCCAGCTGCCTGCTTACTTCCCCATGCTTGTCAACGGCTTTGCCGTTCACCCACTCACTCATGCGTAAAAACCTCGGGTTTCCTCCCCCTGCCAAGAGACAGGACAGAAGGTAAGGAAACAAGCATTTATTAAGCACCTAGGCTGTACCAGGCACTGTGCTAGGCCCTTTAAAAACAGCATCTCATTTCATCCTCACAACAATCCTGGGAGGTAGGTGCTATTATTATCCCAATTTTACAGGTGAGGAAACTGAGGCAAACAGACATTAGTGACTTTCTCAGGGTTGTACAGCTAGTGAGTGTCTGCAGCTGGATTAGGACTCAGGACTTCTGGCTCCAGGCCCATGCTCCATCTATCCACTGCACCATCTCTCAAAGGAATCTCCCCGCCTCCAACATCTTTCACACCCATCAGATAGTCATCCCATCAGAGGTCTTTCACTGACTCCCCAATAAGCCAGATTCCTTATTGCACGTGGACGGAGGTGAGATGTGGCGGGAATACTGACAAGTCTGGAGGCCCTCTGCTCTCACCACACCCAACACGAAGCTCTCAACAATTTGGACACCTGAGGTCCCCCACTTACCTGCCTCTGCCCTAGGCCTGGCAAGCCCTCAGCCGCCTTAAGGCTTAAAGACATCTGTTTCCCTGGACCCTAAATTTGCCTTCTGAGCCCCAGAACAAGTTTTTTAAATCCCCTCCCTACCAACACTGAAGAGCGGCCCACTCATCCTGTTGGCCACGCTATCCTGCAGGGCAGGCCTCTTGGGGTTGGGAGCAGGGCTCAATTCACAACCCGAGTCCCCAGGCCCCAGGATCCACCATCTCTTAATCTCTCTCCCAGGGGAAAGGCCCAGACTGAGGTCCTCATGTCAACTCACTTGGTCCTGGCACAAGAGTTCAATTTTCTCCTCTGCCAGTAAGGCGATGTCCTCTTCTTTCTCCTGCTCTCCAGTTTTTTCATTATTTGATGAGCTGGTGGTCTGAGATTCACTGTCCAAATTTATGATTTTCTCGTAAACATGCTCCATCACCTTCCTGACTTGGAGCATGTCACTGGCAGACAGTCTATCTCTGGGAAGGGGAAGGGAAAGGTCATGTTGTCAGAAAGGTGAAAGGCAAAGAGAAAATTCATTTTCTACCAATCAACTTTTGGGGGGCTGGCTCCAGGAAAAGCAGACACCAGCAGGGAGGGAGGTCTTCCAAGGACTTTCCCAGGGGTCCCTGCTAAGACTCACGTACTGCCTTTCTGGGCTGTCTGTGACCTCATACAATTCACCCTCAAATGGACAACACGGGGAGACGGGTTCCTGGATCTCAAAAGCCCTGGAGAGTGACCTCCTTTACATCATGGCTTTGGTTAAAAATGGATCATGAGGGCACAATGAGGAACCCCAGCCCAGATTATTCTAGAAGAGACCCATAACTTTCAGCTTTCTAAGGGCAGCCTTCTTTTCTCTGACCACAAAACATTAAAGGAGCCTGTCCCAGCTAACAGGACTTAGGAAGACAAAAGGCCCAGCACTTCACTTACTTCTTTAAGGTTTTTGCCCCTGAAGATGAGTGAGGTTGGAGGTAGAAGGGAATTTTGTTGAATTTGGGCATATTTTTCTGAAAGAAAATATGATATTCATTACAATTGTATACTAATTATTATAAAAGAGAAAGCTACCTTGAAGCGCAGATTAAACTCACAGTTTTTAATTAAAATTTATTTTACAATTTGATATGATTTTCTCATAACAAAGTACCAGACCCCATAAATAGCCTTGAAAAAATTCATCAGAAAAGTGCAGAAGTTCATATCGGAATCAGAACAAAGACAGAAGTACCCCGATGGCGAGCACACGACAACACCAAAGTTATAAACACTTTTCTCCTCCGACACATACGGCAGTCTCTCAGAGTCCTTTAAAGAATCCCCACAATGTACATTTCATGTCATCTCAAAAGGGGAGCCTCTTTCTTGACCGGGGCTCGGTCCCCCAGTGAGACAAGAAGCCCCCATGACTCCCTCTGCTCTCCTCCTCCTCCTCCTCTCTAAGCAGCAGCAAGGCCCAGGGAAAGGAGCCAGCTCCCCCCTCCCCTTCCACGCAAGGTGGACAGTGTCCTCGTGCTGATGACCTCCTCACAGGGTGCTGCTACGAGCAAAGGGCTTCAAGGTGCTCGAGCGCTCGGCCGGCGGCTCTCGTGACTGTCTCTGAACAAGCTGGTGGACCCCCGCTGGTGCGGGACATGAAGCGGAGGGCTGCCTTCCACTCTGCAGACGTCTGGGCGCTGTAAGCCAAATTGCCCACACGCAGGGCCTGAACCGTGCCCTTTGTCTTCAGGCCTCTCAACTGGGTGGACAAAGCCCGAGCCCCGCAGAGCCCTCTGGTGTCCTCCTCCCAAGGAGTCGACCACAGGCCTAGAGGCAGCAGGAAAGCTGTCCCTTCAGGGCGGCTCCCATACACAGAGAGGAGACAAGAGCTGTCGAGAGCCAGATGGCTTTTTAAGGCTTGGGGGGCTTCTCGGGGCTGGAAATGCGCTTTTTAAAAGTTGTAAGAGATTAAATTCCATTTTGGTCCTGTCAGGAGGGAAGGCTGGCCCTCTGCAGGCCTGACAGTCACCATTACAATGCTCTTGGCTATTCAAGCCCTGAGCGGGCTTTCATTTCTTTCCTCAGTGTTCTTTAAGAGGACAAAGCAGAGAAGAGGCAGACACTTACATCCACAGTGATGTCAATCACCCACTGGGGCACTGTCTCGTTAAGCAGCATCGACTCAGTCTCCCCTCCAGAATCCCGACACAGCAACCTACACACATAGAGAGCAGCAGAGAGCCCAGTGACCCACTGGCCCTGCAGGAACCCAGAAACACGGTGCCAACTCCGACACAGGCACCCCCTCCGGGCCTCTGGGCTTGCAGCAGCAACAGGCCTCGGGCTGTGGGTCAAGACAGATGGCTGGGAAACAGAGCCTTGAGGAGCCTGAGGAAAGGCCATGGGGCAGGTCCTCCTCCCTCACAAAGCCCAGTGAGCTGCATCTCTGAGAGGAAGGCACAGCCTCTTTCTCCTTAAGGGCTCCACTCGCCATCTGGGTAATTTACAGAGAGGGGTCCTCTCCCACCTCCATCCCCTCCCCCCTCCCCCACCCACTGAGCTCATCCCCAGGCCCAGGCCCCAGGCAGATCCCAGCAGCCTCACCATGGGAGGGTGGAGCCTCCGACTCAAGGAGGGGGCCCAGGGCAGACATCACCTTGCTTCTTACCTGGCTGTACCACTTTGAGGCTCCTTGGACTCCTCCCCCCCGGTCCTCTTGTTAGGGATGTTCCTTGTTGCCCCCTCCCCCACAACTTTTGAACTCTCTTGGGTATGCTGTCTTTCCCTATTCGATTGTATGTTCCCTGAGGGCAGGGACTGTCTGTTTCTGTATCTGTATTCCCAGTATTATTTGCACAGTGCTTGGCACATAGTAGGTGCTTAATGTTTATTGACTACTGACTATTCCATCTCTGTGATGTGAAGAGAGGACCGGCGGGGAGCCCCGGAGGTTCCAGAGCGCTAACTGGAACCCAGCCACACACGAATGAGCATCTTCCTAAGTGGTTCCTCAGCTTCTGCTGCTCACTCCCAACATACCTGACTCCCGGCCCTGCCCGGCCCCTCCAATTCCTCTACCTGAACAGGGTACGGCCTCCAGCCTCGCCAAAGATCACTGGGGTGTGTGGAGGGACCTGGAAGTAGCCATTCCCCTTCTGGACTCGATTCTCCTGCTCGCCATTCACTGTGGGAAGATGCACATGAGATCCAGAGTCAGATCTGCAGTTGTCCTATCTTGTCCCAGGCAACCATGGGAGCCTCTTAACAACCAAAGTCAAAAAGCTCCAGCATCAGAAACACAGGGAAGAGCTGACTAAAGCCTAATTTGGGGAACCAGAAAGTCAGGCATTCTGGGAAGGCTCCCTGAGAATGCACCTCCTTTAAGAAGGGCCAAACCAAAGGGGCAGGGGCTTCCTCCCTCCCCCTCCCCATGCAGCAGCAGCAGGGGAGGTTCTGCCCCTTGGAGCCTTGCTCGGTCACTACTCAGCTGGTACGGGCCTAGGGAAGGACCTGAACCCAGAACGGCCTAATTCCACTCCACCACATCTGCCTCTCAGAGAAAGGGATGAAATACAACATTCTGAGCACCAAAGTGGCAATGTCAGTAGCTGTCGCTTGACAGGCCTGGAGCAAGACTGGCCAGCTATGGGACTGACCACAGCCCCTGCTTCTGTCTCTGCCGAATGTGTGAGGTGAGAAGGGGCCTTTGCTGAGAGGAGTGCTCTGAGGACTCCACACTGCTCTCCCCGCTCAGTCTCACCCTCTCACCCCCTGCCTTGCGTGTCTCGGCCTTGCAATCCCCCTGGCACCCTCATCCTGGTGCAGGAGCCCCCGGCTCCCCCACAAGCCCTGCTCGGTCTCACCCCCAGCCCCATGTGTCCTGGCCCTGCAATCCCCCTGGCACCCTCATTCTGGTGCACTGGAGCCCCCGGCTCCCCCACAAGCCCCACTCATTTCAAATGCTATTCTCTAGGGTGGGTCAAGAGATGGGAGCAGCTTGCTCCTTGCTCCCATGGTCATTTCCCTGCCCCTGGTCTGCTGTCTTTCCTCAACAGCCTCACTCTTCCCAAGTTCATAACCCTCTCCTAATCTTTTTCATGGACATCTACTGACTTTGTGCCATTCTCCAGACTAGGTGGCTGGGTGGCCCAGTGGATAGACTGAAGAACCAATCCAGGCTCAGACACTTACTGGGTAACCCTGGGCAAGTCATTTCACCTCTGTCTGCCTCAGTTTCCTCAACTGTAAAATGTGAATAATAATAGCGCCTCCCTCCTCCCAGCGTAGCTGCGAAGATCAAATGAAGTGTCTGGCACATAGTACGTGCTCCATAAATGCTTCTTCCCTCCAAACCTGCCCCTGCTTTTAACTTGGCTCTCTCTGTTGAATTAAGCAACAAGATGGTGGACTAGACATTTCCTCCAGTCACCGCAACCTCCCAAACTCCTCCAAAACAGAAATTATGTACCAAAGATAAAAGCAACTTCAGCTGTCTCCATGGTCCAAAAGAAAGTTAAAAAAAAAAAAAATTCCTCAAAATCCAGAACTGATGCTCACTGACTTGAGCTCACTCAGCTTCACCGTACTAGCAGACCCAAGGCCATGACACAGGCTCACATCAAAACCTACCCCTGCACCCCAGCCTCGCCCCCCTCTTTCCAGTGTCATGGAGGCCCCTGCTCCAGGCTGCAGAATGTTGCCCTGGCCTCAGTAGCCAGTTTGGCCACAGTCCTCACGGAGCAAAAGCCTGCCTGTGACTGCAACCCGGAAGCACCAATGCTGCCAAGCAAGCTCTGCCCATGCCAGAACTAAGGAACAGAGGGAGTGGGACAGGTTACCAGGACAGGACACCGTGTGTGGGTGGGCAGCTATGCAACACTCCACCATGACAGAAAGAGCAGAGCACCCAGCTGGGGCCAGTTCTGACCACCCAAAAGTCAGCTGGGGCAGAGGCCTAGGCTGGTAAACCACCATCCTCTAGAGGGGAGGGAGTCAGGAAGTGAGTGATGAAGAAAAGGATTTCAGGAAGTAGAAAACTCAAAGACCTTGAAGATAAACAGAAAAGTCAAAAGGAAAAACAGTAACAGCAGAAGGAAATATGGCCTCCAGACCTAGTAAGAGACCTCAGGCATCTATGAATGAATGCTGTAGAATAAAGGAATGATCAGGAATTTGAGGAGAACAGGAACCACGACATGCTGTTCCTGAGTGATTTAAAAGATCAATGAGAATCGGGAGAGCAGGATTTATGGCCCGCACAGCAACAACAGTGAACATGAATCTGCAGCAGCCCCCCGAGACCAACAAAAGAGAGAGCAACAGACTGAAAATGCAAATACACAGCCATGAAGGACAACCCAGAAAAAGAGAGGCAAAAAGTGAGATCATTAAAAGAAAATCTATTCACGATGCAGCAAAACCTACAGATCTCAAAGACAATCTAAGGATTGCAGTGCTCCTAGAAGAACCTAATAGGACAAAAAAGCCTAAACACCATAATGAAAGGAATAACAGAAGAGAATGCCCAGAACCTCTGAACACAGAAAATGAAATTCTAATGGAAAGAATTCACAGATCACCTCAAGAAAAAAACAAGAGACAGAGGCAATTACAAAAGATAAAACGGATCCTTTGGTTACATGAAGCTGAAAAGCTTCTGCAAAGACAAAATTAATGCACCCAGGATAGGAGGGAAAGTATTTGAATGGGGTAAAAACCTTTGTATCAAATTTCTCTGGCAAGGGTTTGGTATCTAAGACACACACACATTATATATGACTAAAAGCAATTCCCCAAGAGATAAATGGTCGAAGGATATGAATAAACAGTTCTCAAAAGAAGGAGTGTGCCGTATTCACAGCCATGTAAGAAAATGCTCCAAATCAACAGTAATAAGAGAAATGAAAATCAATACAACCCTGAGGTTTCACCGCACATCCTGCAAATTGGCAAAAATGACAAAAAATGGCAACAGTCAATGTCGGAGGGGTTGTGGGAAGATAGGCACATTAACACAGTGCTGCTGGAGCTGTGACAAGGCACAACCATTCTGGGAAACAATTTGGAATTATGCAAATAAAGTGACTAAAATATCCATATCCTTTGAACCAGAGACTCCATTACTGTGTTTATACTCCAAGGAAGCCATGGATAAGAAGAAAGTTCTTATATATACCTATGTGTGTGTGTGTGTGTATGTGTGTGTATATATATATATATATATACACACACACACACACATATATATATACACATATATATATACATATATATAAAAATATCAGCACTTGTGATAGCAAAGAATTGGAAACAAAGTTGATGCACATCAATTGGGGAATAGTTAAATACACTGTAGTACAAGAATGTAATGGAAAATTACAGAGCTGAAAGAAAGGATGTCTGTGATGAATACTGAGAAGCCTGTAAAGATCTCTATGAACAGATACACAGGGAAGCAAGCAGAGCCGAGGAAATGATATACACAGTAACTTCAACAATGTAAATTGGAAGAATGACCCATCAAAAATCAAAAGTAGATGTAACAAAATTACAAAGCTCAGTCAGGATTCAAATGAAGACATAGGAGAGGACACCCCAACCTGCCCCTTTGTGGAGGCAGGAGGCCTACAGGTGTTACATATTGCACGTGGTTTTGGACTTTTTCAGTGCATTGCTCAGTTGTACTTTTTTTCCTTTCTCAAAAAACAGGGAGGGAGAGAGGTACCTGGGATAACTATGGTGATGTACAAAACAGAAATCACTGAACTCCTGTGGCTCCTTATCGCCTCCAGGACACAATACAAAATGCTGTTTGGAATTTTTTAAAAATGTGACTGAGAAAGAGTTAACAAAATAAAAGTGCAACAGGAAAAACCAAAAGAAAGCTGATTCCCCCGGGGCAGTGGAGACATTTGGACTTCTCTCTCCACCTCTAATCACATCCCAAGTTCTGCTTAGTCTCCTTTTGCAAAGTTTCTCATGTCTCATTCCTCCTTTCCACTCCCAGTGTCACCTCCACATTACTTCTTGCCAGGACATCCCCTGTCTCCAGTCTGTTGCTTCTCCACTCTCTGTCTCCTCCCCTACCCCTAAACAAAACACACATCTGTCTCTCCTTCACAATCAAACTCCAATCAACTTTTCGTATTGATCTTCTTCATCCTCCTTTAAATTGTTCCCAAACTAGATGACCCTAAGCCTCCTTGGCGAGTCAATAATTCTGTGGCTCAAGGCTTCTTGAGAGCAGGGACAGTGCCTTATAACACTTAGAACAGGACTAGCACAGAGGAGGCTCAGGTAGGCAGCTGGTGCCACCACAGTGCACAGAGTGCAGGCCCTAGATCATAAGACCTGAATCCAAATCTGGCCACAGACACACTTAACTGTATGGTCCTGGGCAAGTCACTCCATTACTGCCTGCCTCGGTTTCCTCATCTGTAAGATGGGAATAATAATAGCACCTATATGGTTGTGAGGATACAACGTGGTTGTATTTGTTAAGTACTCAGCAAATCTTCAAATGCTCCATAAACGCTGCTGGCAGGGCTATTAACTATTATAGCAAGAACCAGAGAAGATGAGAGTCCTGGCCCTAGGCGGTGTCAGAGATCATGAGAGCCAGCTGACAGCCAGGCAGGCATTCTCTCCACACCAGCCCTGCCAGTGCTGGCCAGCCGGCCATTCTCCCCTGGACAATGGCACTCTGCTAAGCCACTGCTAAGACAATGGTGTTTCTGCTATGCCCCAATCTGCCTCTCAGTCGATTCCGTTCCCCCGTGGCCTTGCATGATCGATCCAAGCCCTCTTTCCCACAGGAAGGTCCTTTGGACCTTTGTAGACAACTGAACTGCCCTCTCTCCCTCCTTCCATCCAACTTGGTAGCTTAGGATTTCTTGTCCCTGCACTTGGTCCTCTTCTACTGGGTCTACTCCAGCTGATCAAGGTCCTTCCTAAAATATGGCATCCAGGACTGAAGCAAGTACTTCCAATGGGTCTGGTCAGAGTTCATTCCCTTTTATCACAACAGGCCTGTCACCTGCCCCCCTCTGGAGATTTCATGTCTATCAATGCAGTTTAAAACCAAATTGTTTCTTGAGTTGCCACGTCACCCTGGGGACTCAGAATGAGCTCGCAGCGTATGAGAACCCCCAGGTCTCCTTCACGTAAATGGCTACCCAGACCCTTGTTCGTATGCTGGCAGGGAGCCAGGAGACCCTTCGACTGTCTGCATGTTGACTAAAAGCAGGACAGCGGAAAAGGTCCTTGCTGATAGTATCATTGGCTCTTCTGTGGCAGGCTCTGACCATGAAGGAGGAACTAAGGCCAGCAGAAATCCACCCCCTCCTTCTGGACACATTATTTCTGCGAATGCAGCCCGAGGTTCTTTGGCTGCTCCATTAGACTTCTGATGAACACTGCCCTTGTGTAATCCACTAACCGCTGTGGTGTGGCCACGGGTGCCTCCCCCCTCCCCCCTTTTGTGTGAACCAGACATCTGGTCTGATTCGAGCCGTACCAGTCTCGCCTGGCCAGTCCTTTTTTTCACCTGGATCCTGTCCTCCAAATGTGTTAGCCCTTCTTGCCGGCTTTGGGTAATCTGTAAATTGGAGAAACATGCCATCTAGGCTTTCATTCAAGTCACTGATAATGTTGAACAGAATGGAAACAAGGATAAATCTTCCTAATAAAATCAAATGTTTAAACAACTAAAAATGAAAAGATGAAACTACTACCCAACAAATGAGGATTTACAGAATCTCAGGGCCAGAAAATGCCTCAGATAGCATTGGTGTGGGCAATGGAAAGGACAGCAGATTTAGAGTCAATAGACTAGGGTCCAAATCCAAGCTCCAACACTCACCATTTACTTTCTGTGTGACTTTCCCCCTTCTTCCTCCCTCTGGGCCTCACTTTATTGCTCTGGAGAATAAGGGGGTTGGATTGGCCAACCTCTAGGCTCTTGTACAGGTCTAGAACCACTGTGCAATCTTTACCTGAATCATAAATCCCCTCTACAATGTTCCTTCCCATGGTCACCCAGGTTTTGCTTGAGGACCTCCAGTAATGAAGAATTCACTGCTGATCAAGGGAACCAAGCTGTCATGCTCTTGGTAATGTCTAATTATTAGGAAGTCATTGCTTATATTGAGTTTAAACCTGTTTCTCTGGGTCTTCTACCCACAGGTCCTGGTCTTGACCTTTAGGGCCAAACAAAACCAATCTAATCTCGGTTCTCCACGACAGCCCATCCTTCCCACATTGAAGATCTCCATCAATACTCTGTACTCCTCATTTTTCAAGCCTTAATACTGTTAGGTTCTTCAGCTGGTCCCTTCATGGTCTGGGTCTGGATCCCTTCACATCCACACATCCTCCTCTTCCGGGCTTGGTTTCCAGAACGTGGCATTCGAGATGAAGGGTGTAGGACTGCAAGCTCTGGTTCTGGATATTCTGCCAAGTCACACATGGGTCTTCCTCATGTGTCCCTTGCTAACTCCTCCTGGCCTGCACTCTGAGGGTCTTCAGAGCTCTAGGGTCACCCCTTCTAGGATCTGAGGACCAGGAGCTCTGTCAACTCTGCTGGTAGCTGATGGGTGACTTTGGACATGTTCCTTCCCCTCTCTAGCTATCTCACCTCTAGATGGAGGTTGTGCTGTGTATGAGCTGGTTTCTAACTCTGTGTCTCAGTTTTCCATGTGTAAACTGGAACCATCCTATTTATAGTAAAGTGAAATTTTTCTTGGTAACTGTTGTGTCCTTGGGCAGTAAAGAGGTGAACTAAAGACAGGCTGGTTAAATATACTTTTCGCAATTTCTGTTCTTAAACTGTTCTGAAGTTAAAAGGGAGATAGATTCCCAGACAAATTCTGATGTTTTTAAATGGAAATGGATTGAACTTTATTGTTTTACAGACTGAAAAGAGAGTCAATTGAAAGGGCTTACTTTCAAGCTAAATGGTGGTTTTGCCCCAAAAATGGTTTTAAAGGGACTAAGATATACAGTAGAGTTCAGGAATGGTTTTGAAAGATACAAGTGCAAATGAGAATCCCAATTTCCAAATGTTTAGTACTTTTCTGTGGGCCCTGCCCTCTTGGTTATTTGTCTGGATGAAAAGTTACAAGTGTTCTCTTCTCCACTACCCTTGGGGCCACATCTTCTGTTCAAATATTAGAGTTCATTAAGGTCATATATAGATCCAGAGTAAGAAGGTATCTTAGAGGCTATATTTAGTTGAACCTTTTCATTTTACAGATGAGGAAACTGAGGCCCAAAAGGTTAAGTGACTTGCCCAGGGCCTCACAGGTATAACCAGGAGAGTATGTGGAAGTTCCTGACACTTTTCTTTGCAGCTAACTTTTGCCTTAGGGGGAGTTCTTGGTTGGGGTGACACAGAATCAAACCAAGGCAAGTTGGATCATGAAATCCTGAAGCTTTGAAAGGGACTTTAGAGGTTATCTATCTGGTACAACCTATTGATTTTTACACATGAAGAAAATGAGGTCATAAGTATCTATTACAAATTGTCCAAAGCTGTGCCGCCACTGGCCACATATTAGAAACTAAGCAGACATTCTTATTCCAATAGTTTCTGTAGTATATTGGCTTTGCTCTCATGCATCTAAGGCAGAAGAACATGAGATTCCACTGGCTTTGACCAACAATCTGCCCACCCCAAAAACTCGCCTTTGAGAGTAACTGAACTCCCAACATCCTCTCTCCCTAGAATACCCGTTAGAAAAGTGGGGCCATTGCCTGTCATGACACTGTCCTCCCAAGTGTGGAGTAAATATCAAAAGTCCCTAACTTCCCTCTAAGAACATCACTATGGAGAGCGATGGTGTCATGGGAATTTATCTGGGCTCTACAGAAGGAAGGGGAGAATACAACTGCTCAACCTAAAAAGACATCTGGAACGTGTCGTTCGTAAAGGACCATGGCTAACTTTAACAACCAAGTGAGAATGGACTTGGCCACTTTAGTGATGCCCCATTAAAGCAGTCCCTCTGAAAAAGCATATATGTGCACTTCAATAATATGTCAATATTCAAGACATCTGGGGAACTTTGTTAAAAACTGCTTTCAGAAGGCAGAGCCTACGCTCTTGAATGTCTTCTATGGGGACAAACTTTCATCCTTGGAGAAGAGGTTTGATTTTTTTGAAACAGCCCAGTTACATTACTCTAAGTCTTGGGAACATGGTGAGAGGACCAATATTTCGGTCAAAAGTGAGGTGCGATTATAAAGTGAGGAGACCAGTTTTCTTCTGGCTCATAAGCTGGACAGGAAGACAACATCCAAATGGCTTTCCAAAAACATTAGCTTCATACTTCATAAGCTATTTTATGTCTTTAGAAGCTCATTTTCGATTGGCCAAAATATTTAGATCATAAGGCAGAGACTGTCGGGTCTTCCATTTTTAAAAAACTGGCACAAAGGAAATATTTAACAAAACAGGTTTCAGCAAATGTTTTAAAACTGAAAAAGCAAAAAGCTTAGAAACCAAAGTCTTCATTCCTTGGACATACAGGCAATTTGATAAGTACCTGCCATGTATTGTCAAAACAGAAAAGTGAAAAACAAATACACTCTTCATATCACATGCCAAAGTTGCAGGGAATCTGTAGCTATGAAGATATGTCTGGGCTTAATGGAAAAACCAGTGGACTCCATGCTCTGGCCCCCATCACAAGTGGCTATGTGATCTCCTTGCTGCACAGCCAGCCTAGGTTTTCTCACTGAAGTCTCATGTACTCTGCTGGCACGACCTCAGAGAGCCACGGGGCACCTCTGGGCATGAGGCAGCTAAGCATGACACTCAAGAGATTCTCTGTATCACTGGGAGAAATCTTCAGAACAGTTATAACCTCTCTCTGTATCATTATGGCCATAACAACAACAGTAACTTACATTTACGTTGTGCTTTAGATGCATAACTACCCTAGCCATTATTTCCCCTGATTCTGCAATGCAGAAGTGACCCAGAAGCAGACCTAAGGTGCGTGGAAGAAGAAACTCTCTCATTTAATGTGAGCCTCTGGAAGGGGAATGAGCTGCCTGGGGAGGGCCCACGCCAAGAGAGGCTGTTTGGATGTTGGAGGGGGTTTCTGGTCAGGCCCAGATGGCCGTGGGGTCCTTTCCAACCTGGTGATTCCATGGCAACTGCATGAAGGTGTGATGAGGCTCAAAGGAGAATGTGACAAGGCTATTAATCCATAAAGCACAATGTAAATGGAAATTATTGGGGCATAACCAAGAGGTGAAAAGGGAGTAGAGGAATTGGGATAATTTTTCCGGGAGATATAGAAAACCTCCATGAAGTCCTGCTGCACCATTTGCTGGGGGTGCCCTTGGTTTTCAAAGGCTGGCCCAGCTCTAGCCAGAGCCCCATTGTTCCTGGATTGTCCTAGCTAATTTTGGAGGCTCTTCTCCTTAAGCCAAGTGACAGTAATTTAGGGAATCACTTATCACTAAGGTACAGAGAGCTGCGATCTGGTCTGTGGAGAGAGTACCCACACTGATGAAAATTCTGGCTCTTAGGAAATAAGTGCAGAAAACACTAACCATGGTTTATCTCATTTTCCTCTTCATCCATTGGATTAACATGGGTTCTGGGCCAATACTCTAGGAGAGCTTGCAGTAAAAGCCCTCCCAAGTTCACTGTAAAGAGAGTTCACATTATTCAAAAAACAAAAGAAGATAAGGATTATAAAACATAAATTATGTTCCCACCTATGTCACTGTGCAAATGCCAACAGAGCTGTGAGGCTGTTGATACAAGCCCTCCTCAGGGACCTCATTCATCCTGTGCTCCTGGAGGCAGCAGTGCCAGCCTCTGAAAGACCATGCCAGGGGAGGGACCCCCATGTGAGTCAGGCCCTGCCAGGTTGCAAATGTCTTGGAGACTGGGCCTGCTGTCCAAGGGCCACAGTAAGTAAAGAAAATGGAGAGCTTTATCATAAGCAGGCTAGTTGCTGGGGATTTCATTCTTAAACTGCAGTTATTTCAGTAAGAAACTTAAAATTTGAAGATATGCAGACAAAATTAACATTCTGAATAATCCTGAAAACTGTTTGATAATACAGGAAAAACTTATGTTACTAAAGCTTATATACTTGAATTGACTTTAGCCCATCATTATGAAAGTAACATGACTTTTGTCTGCTTTATCTTGGCCAAGAACGAGTTACTTTCAGCTGAACAGTAATGCTAAGTAGTGCTACTTTCATATACAGTCATTTAAAAGAAAATTAGCAACTGCTTCTTTTGAAGGGCTACTTCTGAATGAAATTGCCAAAAACCTCTCTCAGAAAAGCATTACAAGAGGCAGCTAGGTGGCGCAGTGCATAGAGCTCCGGCCTTGGAGTCAGGAGTACCTGAGTTCAAATCCAGCCTCAGACACTTAACACTTACTAGCTGTGTGACCCTGGGCAAGTCACTTAACCCCAACTGCCTCACCAACCCCGCCCCCCCCGCCCCCCCGCAAAAGAAAAGCATTACAAGACAACTTAAATTCTATACTCCTGTCCTTCCTGAATGAGGTCTCAGGCTTGGGAAGCCCCGGAAAAAGCAGAAGGAGCCCTTTATTGGAGCAGGGGTCCTCAGCCTTGCTCCATCACTAGGAGGATGGTTCTTAAAATTCCAGGGCAACCCATATAACAAAGAAAGTTAACAGCAACTCACATTTTGGATCTGACCCATCTGGGCTGCTAAAACCAGCATCTTTTGCTGAAACCCAAGCAGCAAAGCAGTCACTCTCATCCAGTGTAATTGTCAACATCTGTTAAGATAAGATCATCGGAAGGCATTTTTCTAACCTCGCTGTTTTTCCTTACGTGACAACCATGTATTTGGTTAAAAACAAATCAACTTTTAACCTGTTTTACATAATCTGATTAATCTACAATGTATTACTTACATTTGAAAGTTCTAACTTGTATGTTCATAGACTGTGTCATTGTTTATCTTTGGATCCCCAGTACCTAGGCAGTACCTTCCATGAATGTCTAGTGTATCAGACCATCCGTGTATCGGATGCTAAGCTTAGTGCACCATGTGGCTCGTAAGGACTGAAATAAACTCCCTTTAGACTCTTCAGTCCCCATCTCTCTGTCAGTAACAAAGCCCAACCGGCTCATCTATTTGAGAAAAATCACAACTGCCGCAGGATGTCCAGGCTGCCCAGCTTCCCACAATGTTTATAAACTTACCCCAGTTTTTAAATCAACTGAGAACCAATTTGGCACATACACCATTTTAAATCTTTTCTTAATTTCTTCTTCAAAATCCACTTTGCCAAGATCTTCAACTTTACATGCCTGCATTCCAAAAATTTTAAGAAAAGTAGAGCAATTACTGACTGGACTCAAGAACATCCAATTTTGAATATGCAGCCTGTGCTTTTACAAGATGTTTCTTTGGAGAAGAATGGAGTTTAAAATGCTTGCTAAAAAACAAAACAAACCATGGTAAATCATTCCAGTTTAAGGCATTCCTGTACAGTAACTAACCACTAGCCAAATTGTATCCCTTAAAACGTCTTTAAAAATGACCCTCCTCGGGGCAGCTAGGTGGCACAGTGGATAGAGCACCAGCCCTGGAGTCAGGAGGACCCAAATTCAAATTCAGTCTCAGATCTGACACTTGACACTTACTAGCTGAGTGACCTTGGGCAAGTCACTTAACCCCACTGCCTAGCAAAAATAAACAAACAAAAAATGACCCTCCTCTTTAATAAGCCTATAATATGTTGAACCCTGACATGGGCACAAAGTGATCTAGAGATTCCTTTGAGCAATCTCAATCAGAAACGTCCAAAACACATGGAAAAAGCCCAGGTCTCCACGTAGCAAGCTGTCACAAAGGCCAAGCACTCGGCTCCCACCCAGGTAAGTGCAGGACACAGGAGTCTCTCTTTGGGGGCTTCCTTGTTTTCACCTTTTACTTCTCACCATCATCTTCCTCTCCTCCTTTTTTTGCTGGTTCCTCTTCTCTGCCCTATTCTGTAAGTGTCCAAGGGTTTCTCAACTTCTCTACATCCTTTACTGTGCTCATCCCATCCACTGTACGTGGACTGGCTCCTAAAACCGATGCGTCTTTCCTCAGGTCTGGTCCATGTTTCCAGCTGCCTACCAGCCACGGCCACCCGCATGCAACACTGATATATTCTTTCTCCCAAACTTGCTCTTCCTCCTTCCTATTTCCATTAATGGAGTCACTCACCATTCTCTCACTCAACCAAGCTTGGAACCATAGCTCTTGACTCCTCCCTCCCTCCCTCTTTGTTCCCATATTCTACAGGTCCCTAAGGCCTAATGATTCCCTTGAATCCCCTACATCCAGCTCCGACCCCACTAGCTTACTCTCTGGTTATGAAGTCTCCAAGTTCCATGCCCTACCCCCCAACTTCCATCAAATCTGCGACTATCACCAATTTAATCATTTTGAAGCACTGTGTAATCTCTCCTTGATCAATAACCTTTCCTGAACTCCTTGACAGCTACAGAATGAAATCCAAACTTCTTATCCTGACATCTGTGGCCTCCATAGCCTGATCCTAATTGATCTTTCCAGTCAAACTGGCCCAAGCCTCCTTCCTCAGAAAGGCCTTACCCTTCCCCATTTCCCCACTTGTGATCTTCGTCTCCAATGCCCCTTCTTCTCTCACTTGCCTTTCCCAATCCAAAACCATCTTCTCTCTTCCTCCCACTAGCCCAAAGTGACATCTTTCTCCTAACCTCTGGCAGCACCCTGTCACACAGTAACATGTCTTGTCTTCCCAACTCTGGAGCTATATACTTTCCGAGGGGAAGGACCAAGTCACTTTATGATGCTGTAGTCCCTCCCCTGGACGAACATAAGAGTCCTCCTCAGAACACAAGCTACGCTAAGGAGGGACAGCTAACCGGAGGGAGGGGACAGGAAAATGACAAAAATTGGGAAATTCTTCTCCATGGTTTCTAGTTTTTCAGGACAGTGATGAGGGGCCATTCAGTGCTGGGGCAAACACCTCACTAGCCCCCGAGAGTAACACAACATTGAGGAGTGTAACTTTCAGTTACGTAAGAAATTTGCTCATGAGCAATGCTGCACCCTCACTCCCTAACAATGCCAGAGAAAATAATCCTGTGAGTACAATTAAATCACATACAGACATCATCTGGAACAACTGACTTAATTTTTTGTAATGAGGAGGACAAGCAGACCAGAACCAGCGTCTAATAGCTAATGTAGATCACACTCACCTTTAGTACATCCCAATATGCCACATTGTTGTTGGTGTCTTTGGTTAATAGATGCCTCTTATCATTAAGAATGTGGCACTGAATAATACTGGCACCTCCTAAGCAGGAAAAGAACAGAATTTGTTATCAAGGCCTTGGTGGCGTTGGCCTAAAGCCAATTACAGAAAAGTTGGCACATGCAGCATCCAAAGAACTCAAAGCAAAGCAGGCTTGGGGGCAGCCCCTTCAAAGGCAACTTCAAGCCCCCCAATTCCATTCCTATAGAAAAAGATTTTTTTAGGTCACCCCTGAAATTTCACATTGGGGTTAAGATGTCCTGGTGTGGACCCGTTTTTCCTTGAAGCACACTGGTAACTCAGCAGCAGTGGATGGCTGCAGAGGGCCTCCTGGGTGTTAACATGAAGGAGTTAAGTGAATTGTGGGTTTTCAACATTCAGGTGTATTTCAGAGGCAGGACTCCAGCTCAGGTCTGATACACTCAAGGCTGACCCTCTGTCTGCTGCATCACTCAGAAATGGTTTCATTTTGGCCTATGTCCAGGAATGGTTATTTGACCCATAGCCTTGTATTTCAAATTATAAATAATTTGGAGTTTGTGGCTTTATGTACAAACAATGAGAAATCCTATTTTGTTTCCTCTGTTAAAAGCTGTTGTTCAGCCATTCAAGTTGTATTCAACTTTTGGTGACCCCATTTGGAGTTTTCTTGGCAGACATACTGGAGTGGTTTGCCATTTCCTTCTCCAGTGGAATAGTAAGGCAAACAGAGGTTAAGTAATTTGCCTGTGGTCACATGACTAGTGAGTGTCTGAGGCCACATTTGAACTCAGGTCTTCCTGACTACAGGCCTAGTGTTCTATCCACTGAGCCATCTAGCTGCCTAAGTTTAAAATAGAAAACCTTAAGAGAAAAAAAAGTGTGTGGAATGCTTTAGTCAGAAACGATGCCTTAAACTTATCAGCAGACAGATCGAGAGAAAGAAACCTTGTAACTCTCCTAGGCTGCTCAAGAAATATTGACTAGAGCACTAGACAGTAGCCTCTTCTGGAGGCCGGACCAGGCCTATCTAGATCATCACCTCCTCTAGCACCTAAGATAGCTCTGACGACAGGAGGCTATAATACAAGAAACAAAAAGCCCTCTGATGGAAAAAAGAACAGCCCAGGGTGTCCAAAAAGAACTTTTGCTCATTGAAAAATATAAAGTGTCGATAGGGTAGGAGCTCCTTTCAACTGGGTGATGGGTACTGTGGCTATCATCCGTCAGAAATGCTAAAGATGACTGCTGATACATGGTCCTTGTGTAGAACACAGACCAACTGTTCTCACTGGGGGATAGACCAAGGTCTTCAAACACGGGCTGGAAGCCCACTTACCTAGAGGGGATTCCTACATGGGTCTGACTTGAATGAGATGGCCTCTGAGGGCCCTTTCAACTCTGTCTTCTGGGATCGTTCCCCAAGCAGCAGTGGCCTTCACTGGACTGTTCTCACACTCTTTCGTGTTTGTATAGCTATTTGGGACTTGGGAATCAAAGCACCAATGGAGGTGGAAGTCACTCAGACACCATTCCCAAGTCTTGACCACACCAGCTACAGAGAGGTGGACTTGTTTAAGTCCAGGACTCAATCTCACCTGTCTTGGCTTGGGCCAAATGTCAATGTTCCATCTCTGAACATCCTTGAGAGTGATATATAACATAGAGTGTGACTATTTTAAGAGCGCAAATACATGAAGTCAAAGACTATGGCTAAACAAACTCCAGTTTTTGACACCAAATAGCATTTTCTTAGAGGTTTCCCTTATATAAAAGACAAAGCATCTCATTTACCTTTCACTGAATTGGAATTTCTGCTAAGGAAAGGCTGGGTTACTCTTTGAAACAAAACCTTCATAATTACTTTAATGGTCCAATCTCCTTCTTTACCTTTAATAACTTGATCAGGCTGTGTACAAAGGGGTGCTATAGGATTGTTACAGTCATTGTCGTAATCTCCAGAAGCTCTAAAATTATGAATTCCCTTCAAAGTCTAAAAGAGTAAACAAAAATGAGATTACTTGATCATTTTACAAGACTGCTGGAAACGTGAGCATAATAATCCCCAATCCCTGGATCTTGGACAAGCTGTTGGTTTCTTGTGGTGATAAAAACCAAGAGGAAACACAGTCACAACCACAATTCTGAGTACCACACCCTGAAAATACAAAAGCACAAGGGAAAAAAACTAACAGAGAGATGGCGGCCTGATGGCACCATTGTACAATTTTAGAACTGTGTTACAGGCAATCTTCATCAGGAGAAAAAGGACAAAAATGAGGATGACTCTTCCACAGCCAGAATCTTTGACTTCATTATTGGACAGTTTAAAAGTTGCTGGGGCAGGCCTATTTTCCCAGCAGTGTTTTACCTCCCAGACCATTTTCCCTCTTTAAGGAACAGGGCAGCCAAGGCTTTTGCCTTCATTATCCATATTTCTCTCTAAGAGTATGACTCACATCCTTCCTGGTGGCAAGGAGGTGACCCTTTATCCAGGTAGTGCCAGTCCCTGGCCAGCTGGAAAGGCCTCAGGAGGCCTTTGTTTGGGGACCTGATGCTGCCACCCAAGGACCAGGCTAGTTACGCTTAAAAAGGCCCTCTTGGCTGGCCGCCAGAGTCAGCTACCAAACAGGGATGGCCCACAGCTTTTATTGACAGAGGCAGGACCTACAGTGGGTGAAGTTTCCACCCTATGAAGTAATGAAGCCCAAGTGTCCATGTTAAAACACTTCAGTCACAAGAAGATCGAAACTGTATTAAGTAAGAGTGCAAACATAATGAATGCAACAGAGCTTTTCGGTTCTGTTCTAGGTCAATCACGCTGCTCCTCAGGCTCACACAGAAAAAGAAAAAGCAACTGTCTGAATTTGGTCCACTCCACGTTGGGTTTAGAAAGACGAAGAGCCTTCCGAGTCTGCTGCTCAGGCAAGGACCAGCACACCTCCTGGGTTCAGAACGGAGCTTCCCTTCTACAAAGGCCACGGCTCTCACAATTCCTGCCTTCAACCCCAGCACGTGGTGCTTCTCAGAGCCACCTTTGGGGCACACGAGCAGACATGAACAAACGGCAGTATGTGCTTACATAGCTTAGCAACCAGAACAAAAAACTCACCCATTTATTCACTGAAGACTTTGTTGTTGCGACCCAAATTGCAGGTGGAGGATCAGCTGACCTATCAAGCTCCATCTGGAAGACACAAATCCCGAACGTGAGGACGGCTGGCCAGCCACATGTTCTCCAAAGCCCTTGGGGAGCTGGGACTTTCAAAGTTCAGATACCTTGGTCCCCCACCCCGATCCTTCTTCCCTTTATGGGGTACCATAGATGTGCTTCTTCATATGCAGCCATGGTAATATTATGCCATGAATGCCAAGCAAGACCAAGTTTCTAGATGTTTTTAAGCAGGCTGCCAACTGGGATGCCCACTGGAAGCTTCCCGGATATGGTGGGTCCCACTGACCGGGATTCTTCAGGAAAATGGGAAAGTGGCCAATTCAGTGAAAAGGAAGCCCATGGAAAGCCTTCTTTGAGGAGAGGTGCCTTAAATGTTGTTTTAAGCCCCTCTGGTGAAGGGTGGGTGCAGAGCCTAGGAGGAGGAGGCACTTTTGCTCAAGCACTTTCTCCCAGAACAGTAAATGTGGGGCAGCCTCAGGGGCCTTCACTCCTTTGAAGAGATTGGGGTTTATCTGTGACCTCTGAGATTTCACTGTAGACTCCAGACAAAGGCCAGCACAGATGGCTGAGGAGTCTGAGGGCTTCCATTTTTTCATCCAGAGCAGGGGTTCTTAACCTTTAGTATATCATGGACCTCTTGGGCAACCTGGAGAAGCCCTATGGACCCTTTCTCCCAGACTAGTATTTATTTTTTATTTTTAATTAATAATTTATTTTTTGTTTTCAACATTCACTTCCACAAGATTTTGAGTTCCAAATTTTCACCCCATCTCGCCCCTCCCCCTTCCCCAAGATGACATGCATTCTGAAGACCCCTTCCCCTAGTCTGCCTTCCCTTCTATCTCTCCCCCTCTTCTCTTATCCCCTTCCCCTTCTATTTTCCTGTAGGGCAGGATAGATTTCTGTACCCCGTTTCCTGTATTTCTTATTTCCCAGTTGCATGTGAAAACATTTTTTTTTAAACATGTGTTTTTAAAACTTTGGGTTCCAAATTTTTCCCTTCCTCCCTCTCCACCCTCATTGAAAAGGCAAGCAACTCAATATAGGCAGTTATGCAGAACATTTCCATAGCAGACATGCTGTGAAAAACTAACTCTATTTCCCGTAATCCTATCCCGCCCACCCATTTATTCTATTCTTTCTTTTGATCCTGTCCCTCCTCGGAAGTATTTGCTTCTGATTACCCCCTTTCCCAATCTGCCCTCCTCTCTATCATCCCCCTACTCTTTTGTCCCCTTCCCCTCCCTATTATCCTGTAGGATAAGACAGATTTTCATCCCCAATTGAGTCCAGACCAGTATTTAAATGCATAAAATAAAATACAATACATAGGATTACAAAAGAAACCCATTTTACTTACATACAACGATCAGGATATTTGTAAAAACAAGTTCACAGGTCCTAGCTAAGAACCCAAGACCAAAGAGAATTCCTGCCCTGTTTTGTGTCTCTACAGAGAGTTTCTTCTTCCCAACCAGCACCCAATCCCACTAGGATTCCGTTTTAAAGAGCTACTGCTTGTACAACCATCATCGCTATCACATTTTCACACAGAATGTCCTCTTACCTTGAGAACAGGGGCTTTCTCTTCACAAATCAAGACCCGTATATCGGGATTTCTCAAATCCGTACAGTAAATCTTTCGGTCTCTTCCTCCAGAATACACATGAGTAAAGGCTTCATTGACCTGTAAAGCCCACACTCCCTCATCATGTACTCGATAGGTTGCTATACATCTCTGTTGTCCAAGGGACCAGAGGCGGATAGTTCCATCAGAACTGCCAGAAAGGCACTAGATAAAACAGCACAACAAAGACTAGGTCAGGAGATGGCCCACTCCTCCCCATCCCCCATGAACCTTGAGAAAGGAGGGGATCACTAAGGTCTCTGTGTCCACCTCTAAAGCCCGTATTTGTGATCCTAAAGCTATTTAGAACGACACAGTTCAGATGAGACGCTGCAAAAGCCATCAGTCTTACTTTGTTTTCATTTTTAAAATGCTGAACAAATCAAATAAAGAAATAAAAACGTGGGGATTTGGTATGTGAATTGAGATTAAGTTTTTAAAATAGTCTAGAGTTGACTATATGTATTCATTTTGTTAAAAAAAAAACTACCATATCAGGGGGAAAATTTGAGATGAAATGTCTTTGGGACACCCCGAAGATTATCTTTAAAACTATTTTAACAGTCATGAAAAAGTTAACATTAATAATAATTTTGTTGTTCAGACATTTCAGTCACGTTCGACTCTTCATGACCCCATTTGGGATGTTCTTGGCAAAAATAGAGGAATAGTTTGCCATTTCCTTCTCCAGCTCATTCTGCAGATGAAGAATTGAGGCAAACAGGGTTAAGTGACTTGCCCAAGGTCACTCAGCTAGCAAGTGTCTGAGGCCAGATTTGAACTCATGAAGAGAAGTCTTCCTGACTCCAGCCCAACACCCAAGGTGCTCTGGCGCCACCTAGCGGCCCTTGAATAGTATGCGGATGAGCAAATTCGTCTGAGTACCTGAGTCCCATCTCTGTTGAGCAGCAAAGCTTTCACGTTGTCCGTGTGCCCTTTAAGTTTCATGAGCTTGGCACACGTTCTTGGATCCCAAACCCTCAAAACCTGTGAAATGCAAACAGAAAAGAAGGACACAAATGTAAACTGCACAAGACACCACATTTAAGACACAAAAAGCACAATCACAACCACATCACGAAAGCCTTTTAATGACCCATGTAACACACAGATGTACATATGTGCACACGCGCGCACACACACACAGACACACCGCCCCCCACACCCACCCACCCACTATGGAAGTGCAATCAGCCGGGTTCTTCTCTTGGTTCCCAACCACTCAGTCCCTTGACATAGATAATAAACCTGAGCGTCCCACTGACCTTCTCCGTGGACCCGGATACAATGATTGTTCCCAGCTGATTCATTGCAAGGCTATAAATGGAATCTTTGTTCCCACTCAGAGAAGAAGCTATTGGGGGACAGGGGGAGGAAGGGGGAAAACAGAACTAAATGTTACCAGTCACCAGGAGTTAGCCAAAACTCTAACTGTAAAGGGCAGTTCAATTTAGAAACCAATTACAATGTCATTTTTATAACTGGCTTTTAGGGAGAAACAAAAAGATCTAAAGAAAGATTCATTTTAATAAGCATCTTACCAGTTTCACTAAAAATTAATATTGTTAGAAAAACGTTCTTTTTAAAAACCTCAAAACATGACCAGTTGAAAATAATTCACTTGATCAAAAACCTATTTGCTGAGTCCGTGCCCGAAGCACAGCAGCCCTGCCTCATCAGAAATGGTTTGCTGCAGCTGGTTCTGTTTCCAGCAGACTAGTGACCCAAGTGAGAAACGCATTTGCCCCACACAGGCGCCAAGTTCAAGAAAATAATCAGTGAGACCAAAAACGGGAAGGCACAGCCTCAGGCCCTCCCCCTCTTCTTAGACAAAGTTGAATTTAAAGTACTACAAAGAGGAACAGTTTTTGAACCAATCCCAAAACTTGTCCTGTCTACTTCCCAAGTCATCCCATGTATTAATAAAACAAAGTCTTTACTGCCAATGGAAGTGGAAGGGTTTGATGAGAACCTCGTATCAGCTTGCTCAGGACTGGCCTATTGAGAGGTTCGTCACCAGGCTGGATGCACAGAGATGGTTTTGGGGCTGTGGCAACTTTCAAAGATTCTCTGGAGCACGGAGAGATTAGTCTATGCTGGCAGAGAAAGGCCTCCCCTGGAGGTAATCCCAGGGTCTTTCAGGATGGAGATAAGAAAAAGAGAAGCTCCCTGTGCCAGGTCACAGGCCTACGGAAGACCTAGAAAGATGCTGGCTCTGTCCTGGGGAACTTTAATAAGACATATGCACCATCACTAAAATGTGGAGGAGAGGAATTCCAGCTGGAGGCCAAGGGACCAAGCTGGAGAATGGGCATGGTGAACTGAATGAGGAAGTCTGCAGAAGAAGCTGTGGAGGGGGGCCTGCCAGAATGGGGCAATACCCTTGATTTGGGGGGCACTGCAGATGCACTGAGTACAAGGGTGATGTAGGAAGAACTGGGATTGCATTGACATCAGCACCAAAGGTATAGGTCGTGACCAGCTCTGGCCTACAGGAGCTGATGCTCTCAACGGGTCCAGCTCTATACCGAGGCAAGCAGTCAAGTTGGCACTGGGCTAAGTGCTTAGAGATGCAAAAAGAAACAAAAGACAATCCGTGCACTCGAGAAGCTCACAATCTACTGGGGAAGACAGCAAAGATGGAAAAACAAGCCACATACAGGATAAATAGGAGGCAATTAACAGAGGGAAGGCACTTGAGGTAAGAGGGGTTGAGGAAGGCTTCCTGTAGAAGATGAATTTTAGTTGGGAGCTCAGCAGTCTGAGCAGAGAAGGGAGAGCGTTTCAGGCTTGGGGAACAGTCAGAGAGAATGCTTGAGACATGGAGTGTGTTCTCTGTGGAACACTGGACCACAAAGGACTGGGTAGGGAGTACTGTGGACGAAGTCTGGTTCTGAATGAAAGGATCAAGCTAACCTGGCATCCTGCAATGACTCTGAAATGTGCTTCATGGGGCAAATCCAAACTGAACTCCTCAAGTCTCAACATTCAGAATGCTCCACCTCCCCCCTCCCCATCACTCCCATCTGGAGAAGGAACAAAGCAGCATCAGGCTTGAGTGTCCAAAGTGCTTGGACCAGTCCAGACTCCCTGAGCATTCCCTGGGTTGGCCTCCTGGATGACCACATTCGCTCTCTGATGGTCTTCCAAAGTTTATGCCCTAATGGGACGAGAGGGAAGGCTGGGGACCTACAGATGAAAAAGGGGAGTCTCATGACAACTGTGAACGTGCATGGCCATAGGCTGGAAATGCACTGAGTGACCAGTAATGATGTTTTTCGGCCTGCAGGAGCTCAATCTAAAAGAACGACACTTTCTTGAGGAAAGAGCAGTAGCTTCTGCAGCAGCGGCACAAGACAGAGGCAGAGGAGGCCAAGTGAAGGACCTGGTTCAAAGCAGGAGCTGCAGACGCTAAAATCTAAGCAGCAATGAGGCACAACTCTGAGGAGGAAGAACTAAGCCAGACCTTGCTCTTCACTGCAGTGTGAGTCATTCTGGGGCAGAGGAAGGCGCGACCTTCGAGCCACCAGGAGGGTCCCCACTGTTCGGTGTGCTCTCCACCCAAAAGTCATTCTCTGTGCCCCCTGACTATTTTCTGCCACTGTAACCATTATCGCAAAGACACAAAGGGCCTCATCACACTAAAAGTCACTTTGTACTCTGTCTGTTTCATGAGTTACATGGCCCAAGAACTGATCCCTTTCCTTAGTCAGTCAGGCTGGCTCTCCGACAAGACGGTCTTTGGTCTTTGCCCAGGTCTGTACTCAAAGACCTTTCGGCTCAGGAGAACTCATCAAAGCCGGCACCTTGCTTAGGTGCCCTTCAAGAACACGGGGTCACCTCCATGCTGTGATGAGGCATCAAGATAGAATATCTGTAAAAGTTTCCCATAACAATCTTTCAAGTACTTGGAGACACTGGTTACACTAAACCCTTAAGTCTACTCGTCTTCTGGCCAAATGGAGTCAATTTTATTTTAGGTAAGGGGCTCCCAAACTTTCCCAGTTCAAGGCACTCTTTGTGTCGTAGTAATTTTTCATGCACTCCCTATGAAGTATCAGGTATTAAGCAGTTAGGCAAAAAATTTAAACTATCCTGGGGCGCTCTCTGCATTCACCGTGGTGCCTCAACACATAGTTTGGAACCATGGCCTTCTGCCATCATTTCAGTTGACCTACTCTGCACACAATTCAGTTGTCAAAAGAATCACAGAATAGAAACCACATGTCTAAAAACTAAAGGGATTAGAATCTTTTCCAAGGTAACAAAATGAATTAGAAATCCTATTTTGAATTTCTAATCTATTTCTCACGTGAATAAGGGGCTGATGTAAGGACTTGATGTATGTAATAAAAGCCCCAACAAGTAACTGTATTTTAAGCTTCTAGCATGCAGAGGCTACCTACCTATAGGATCTGTGAAATTAGGTACTGGATTAGTGCTTCAGAGAGATGATGAGGGTAACCCATCATGAACTAGAAGGATTCCTAACTTTAAAAGGCTGCTTTGCACCTACCATAGGATTCATACACCCCACAGAACCTTTCCCTCTATCCCATAAGTATTTCCCACCTTGCCATTTGGCTAAGGGTTCTTAGCCACATATGCAACAATTTCTTCCAATCCCCAAAGTGGTCTATTTCCCATTTTCCTGATCCGCTATTATCACCATCAACAATCACTCATGTAACACTTCCTACATGAGAGGCACTACAGGGCTACAAAGAGGCATTAGATATGGTCTTGATTTCAATGCTCCCAGGCCAGCTGGAGTGTCAAGACTGGCGCTCTCGGGAAAAAGCACTGCAAGCCCGTCTGCAGGTGGACAAAGGCTTTCCCCAGTGCATTACTTGTAACAGTGTTGTTCGAGGCAGTCAGCGCTGTGAGAGTATTGACGTCCCAGAGGAAGATCTGTCTGTCCAGCCCAGCAGAAGCCACCAGTTCCTTTTCCTTGGCATAGGCTAAGGCCTTCACATAATCCTGCAGCAGAACAGAGAAGCCAATAAAAACGACGGGCAATAGTGAAAAGCACACGTGGCAATATGCCTACAGCTGCTTCTTACAGTCCAGACCAAAGACATGAGGAGAGCCCCCTGGAGGAGCTTTACCTTATGTGTCCTCAATGTTGACATGCAAAATCCCTTATGGGCATTCCACACTTTCACTGTTGTATCAGAGGAAGCGGATATTACTAGAAGAGGCAAAAAAACGGAAATGGGCAAAATATATTAGCAAGGCCTACACATGAAACTTATAACTATTCTGATCTTCTTTCAATAACACACTAAGAATAATGTAATGATATTCTAAAATGTCCATTAACACCAGCAAAATAAAAGGAAGGCTCTGAATCTCACGAGATGACATTTCATAGCATCAGTTACGTCTAAAAAATCGACTGCACGATTACAGGAGGAGGCAGGTAGGGCCAAGCACCAGCAGTTCATGTGAAAAAGACCAAAAGGTTTCAGGTGCCTGCAAGGCCAGTGTCACCAACAGTAGGACCTTGTCAGCCAAAAAGGCACTCTTAGGTTTCATGACTAGAAATAGAATTTTCAGAACAGGGAGATGATGGTTTCAAGTGCCTCAATGCTCAACCAGGATGCAGCAGAGAAAGTATGATGTCAAATTCTATGTGCTATATTTTGGGAGGGATTATGGAACACATCCAAGAGGGTGACCAGGATGGGGAGGGGTCTCAAATGATGCCACATTAAGGTTCATTTGCAAGAACTGGGGATGCTGAACTGTCGAAGAGAAGACAACAGGTGTCGAGGATAATACAACAGGTGTCTCTAAGTATCTTAAGGGGCTGCTACACAGCAGAGGGATTAGACCCATTCTGCATGGTTACCTCAGGGGACACATTTCAGCTCAATATAAGAAAGAATTTCCTAATCATCAGAACTGTCCAAACATGGAATGGGTGGTCTCATGATGCAATGAACTCCCTGTTGTTGGAGGTATTCGAGCAGAAGCCTGATGACCACTGGTGATTTGCACTTTTGAAAAGGGGTTGGATGAAGTGACCTTTAAGGTCCTTCCCAACTCTGAGATTCTATGATTTTTTTGGGGAAAGTTTTCACATAATAAAATTACTTCCCTGTCTCAGAAGACGCCCTGCAAAAATAACTGTTCTGCATGCAACAAATCTGCTACAACAAAACTCCAAACAAGCAACAAAATATCTTGATGAAATCAAAGCAAAAATGAATATAGAACTGTATCTTAATAATTTAAACTAGAATGCATAATAATATTTATAGGAGGAGCTGTAACAATTAACTGACACTTTGTAATTCCCCCTGCCATCAAGAAATACTTACATGTTTTCCCATTACAACAAAGTACAATATCGTTTACCCAATCGGTGTGGTGCTCCATGGATGCTATGTAGGGATCTTGCTGAAACGCAAACAAAAAAGAAATACGTCTTCAAACGACGTGTCCAGAGGAAACATTAAACAAGACCAGACTTTAACAAAAAAACTGGATTTGGATGAAAAGGACCAGATTAGGGAATTTGCGAGGCAGTTCTGTCCATACCTGCAACATATTTAACCTCTCCTAGAAGACCCAGTGTAGGGGAAGTATATGCACTTCACTAAAGGTATCATTCCCCCATGACTATGCTCTGAGTCTGGCCATCCAACTAATTTCTTTTAAAAAATGTTCCTTAAAAATTTATCATATATTGATTTTAAAATTTAAAAAATTTTTTTTGAGTTCAAATTCTCTCCCTCCCTCCAATCCCTCCCCATCCACTGAGAAGGCAAGCAATATATCAATTATACATATGAAGTATTATAAAACATATTTCTATATTAGCTGGGCTGCAAAAAAAAAAAGCAAGAAAAAAAGAAAGTGGAAACACTTGTACTACAATCTGTACTCAGAGTTAATCAGATCTCTCTCTGTGGATGGGCACCATTTTTCATCATGGGTCCTCTGGAATGGTCTTAGATCAGTCTTGATCAGAGCAGCTGAGTCTAGGGTGTATGGGGTATTAAGAGAGGACTAGCCTCTCTGGCGCCCACCTGATTCACCCAAGTCTCACACGCAGCGGTCATGCCCCAGTAAACAATCCAGCAGATGGGCTAAACCAGATTAAGGGTAACCGACAGGTTTCATCATCTGTTCAACAGTTATTTATTAAGAAATCTATGAAGTGGACCACGCTATGGGAGTGTCCAGGGTGAAGGAGATGCAGTCCCTGCCCCCTAGGAATAACCTTGTGACTGTAGACAATATTTCTGTGCATGAAAGACCTGTAGAACAACTTAAGGGTTAAATCACACAGTACAGGAACTGAAAGAGTAACTAAGAACGAAGGCTCAGCAGAAGAGATGGGACCGGGCAGAGGCTTTGAAGGGCAGGTAAAACATCCAACGAGGGAAAAGGCATGAGGGGCAGAGCGAGCAGATGCTCTCTGGGCAGGAAGGGTGGACACTGGCCTGAACAGGAATGGACAGGAGGCGTGGCCAACTCTTGGGCAAAGCAGCAAGCTTTGTGGCTTGGCTTATCCCTGCTTGTGCTTGTCTTGATTTTTTGTCTTCTCTGTTGATTCATGTTAAGCCACAGTCCAGTAACACTGGAAAGGGAAGAACCTTCTAAGAGCCTTGTGTTGACAAGAACCCAGTGTGGGAGGATTCACGCCACCAGACTCATCTCTTTAATAAAGACAGTCTGTGCTGTTCTAGCTAGCTCCCCAACCCCCAATTTCTAGGGTCAGAGCAGCCCTGCGTCAATCCCTTAGTAGCCAAAGAGAGTAAACAGATGACGCTCAGACACGAGACAAACCGAGGCCACGTGAAATGCCCAGAAGCTGTCCTGAGGTGAGGTGGCTAAGCTTCTACGGGCCTGGCCTTACCTTGTGCTGGCTGACGCTCCATATTCTAATGATGGAGTCTCTCCCAGCAGTGAAGAGTCGGTTTAGCGCTGAATCCAACTGAAGAGCGTTGACCCCATTCCGGTTACATTTCTCTACCTCATCTCTAATAACGTAAGACACCTGAAAGAGAGCCAACAGCCGGTCTTCAGGCAGTCCGGAAATACACGGGGAAACGAACACAGTCTACCAGGACCCACCTGACATACTGAAGCCAGCACGTGCTAACGACGTAAGTCTTGCTTTTAATGCACAAGACAAATTTCAATTTGGCTTTTATCCAATAAAGCTGACATGATGAGGTAAAGGACAGAATCCCTTTAAGGAGGTTTTTCGGGAGGGAACGTACACAGCTAGATGGTGTTTATAAAGAGCTCCACAGAGTTTGTATGGTGTGACTAATATCAATTTCTAGGCTTTCTACTTGTTTCTTCATTGCAGAATGGGGATTAAAAATAACACCCACTCTACAGAGTTGTTGCGAGGCTGCAACAAGCACACACGTGCCACATGCTCCACCAAGTCCAAAGCTGGGGCTGTTCCTGAGCACAACCTGCCAGGTTTTCTTTTCATTATTGATCTCAAAGATGCCAATGCCCACATGTGGCTGCCCTCCGAAATAAAAGGATATTCACATTTTCATTGCTTAGAAACACAACTGAAAGAGAAGGTCCAATCATGAAGCCCAACAGTACACCGTGCAGAGCCCTACACTGGGGCCTTGTTCCCACCATGGGACCTTGGGTATGTCATTTCACTTTGTCTGGGAGGAACCTGAACATCAGTCTAACACTCCTCCCATCTACATCTCTAGGATTCCAAAGAGGCCACCAGCCTATCCAACAGGACCATTAGATGTTTGCCTGGTGAGGAGTAGACTTTTGCAAGGTAAATAATAAAATTTCATTTATTTAAAAAATACTCTACCCAAAGAGAACACACAAATGGGAAAAGGACTTACATGTACAAAAATATTCATAGCAGCTCTTTTTGTGGTGGCAAAGAATTGGAAATTGAGAGGATGCCCATCAACTGGGGAATGGCTGAGCAAGTTGTGGTATATGAATGTGATGGAATACTATTGTGCTATAAGAAATGATGAACAGGCTGACTTCAGAAAAACCTGGAAAGACTTGTATGGTCTGATGCTGAGTGAAGTGAGCAGAAACAAGAGAACGTTGTATACAATAACAGCCACGTTGCATGATGACTAATATTGATACACTTAACCCTTCCTGGCAATACAAGGATCTAAGACATCTCCAGAGGCCCTGTGATGGAAAATGCTATCCACACCCAAAGAAAGAACTATGGAAGCCGAATTGCTAATTTTTTTCTCTTCTGTTGAGTTTTGTTTCCTCTTTCTGATGGTTCCTCCTATTGGTTTTAATTTCTACTTACAACATCATTAATGTGAAATTAAAAAAAATAAAATAGATATGAAAGAATAAAAAAAAATAAAAAAATAAAAAACACTCTAGAACTCAACTTCCATGAGCCAAGATGGTGGAGTAAGAAGTAAGCTCTCTCATCCTCCCTTACTGACCTCTGAAAGCCCAAAAAATATTGCCCCAGAAAAAACCCTAGCATAGCTGAGCCAGCAGAAAGATGGAGTGCAGCAGTCTTGTAGCCCAGGAAACTTGGCAGATTAATGGAAAGGTCCCTCTCACTCTGGGGGAGGGGGAGCAGTACAGGATGGGAGGCATCCCAGCAAGCCCCAGCTCAGCAAACCAGGGGGAGGATCCTGAGGCCCGGGGGGGGGGGGGGGGAAAACCCCACCCCCCCCCCCCCCCCCCCCCCCCCCACTGCCAAGAGCCTCAGCACAGGCAGGTAGACACCATCATGTGTGGACATGGACAATGGACAATGACCACAGATTCTCATTATGGGAACAGGAAAGATCAAGGCACAAATTCACAAGAGGACAACATTGTCAATATACCCACATCTGAAACCTCAAAGGGGAATATGAACTGGTCTCAGGTCCAAAAAGCCTTGGAAGAGCTCAAGAAGGATTTAAAAAGTCAAATAAGAGAGGTAAAAGAAAAACTGGGAAAGGAAATGAGAGGTATGCAAGAGAGAGTCAATAGCTTGGAAAAGGAAGAACAAAAAAACTGAGTGTAGAAAACAAGTCCTTAAAAAATACAATGGGCCAAATGGAAAAGGAAGTACAAAATCTAACAGAAGGAAACAATTTGTTAAAAATTAGAATTGGGCAAGTGGAAGCTAATGGCTCTATGAGATGTCAAGAACCAGTCAAAGAGAAACAAAAAAATGAAAAAATAGAAGAAAACATAAAACACCTCATTGGTAAAACAACCCACCTGGAAAATAGATCCAGGAGAGACAATTAAAAAGTATTGGTCTACCTGAAAACCATGATGAAAAAAAGAGCCTGGACAGCATCTTTCTGAAAATCATCAAGGAAAACTGCCCAGAGGTCCTGGAACCAGAAGGTAGATTAGTCATTGAAAGAATCCACCAATCACCCCTGAAAGAGATCCCAAGTTGAAAACTCCAAGGATACTGTAGCCAAATACCAAAATTACCAGGTCAAAGAGAAAATACTTCGAGCAGCCAGAAAGAAACAATATAAGTATCATGGAACCACAGTCAGGATCATGCAGGACCTTGCAGCTTCTACATTAAAAAATTAGAGGACATAGAATACGATATTCCGTAAGGCAAAGGAGCTTGGATTACAACCAAGGATCAACTACTCAGCGAAACTGAGCATAATCTTTCAGGGGAGGAAATGGACAGTCAATGAAATAGGGGACTTCCAAACCTTCCTGATGAAAAGACCAGAGCTCAACAGAAAATTTGATCTTCAAATACAAGACTCAAAAGAGGCATAAAAAGGTAAACAGGAAAGAAAAAAAACAACATGTTATTAATAAGGGCAAACTGTTTACATCCCTACAAGGGAAAATGACACTTGGAACTCTTGAGAACCGTATCTTTATTAGGACATTTAAAAGAGCATAGACAGAGGGTGTGGGTACAAGTTGACTTTGATGTGATAATAAAAAAATCTAATTAAGTGGTGAAAAGGATTTCTTCTGGGAGAAGAGGAAAGGAGGAGGAAGACAAGGGTAAATTATATCACATGAAAAGGCACAAAAACCTATTCCAGTAGAGGGGAAGAAGGGAAGGAGATGAGCACTGTTTGAACATTACTCTCATCAGATTTTGGCTCAAAGAGGGACTAACATAATCAGTTAGGTATAGAAATCTAATTTACCCTACAGGAAGTAGGAGGGGAAAGGGGAAAGAAAAGGGAGGGGGCTGATAGAAAGGAGGACAGACTGAGGGAGGCAGTGGTCAAAAGCAAAACTCTAGTGAGGAGGGAAAGGGAGAAAGGACACAGAAAAGCATAAAGAGGGGGGATATAGGATGGAGAGAAAGACACAGATAGTAATCATAACTGTGAATGTGAATTGGATGAACTCTCCCATAAATTGGAAGTAGACAGCAGAGTAGATTAAGAACCATAATATTACAATATGTTATTTAATTGGAAATGGAGGGAATGTTTATCAATTGGGGAATGGCTGAGCAAGTTGTGGTATATGAATGTGATAGAATACTACTGTGCTATAAGAAATGACGAGCAGGCAGACTTGAGAAAAACCTGGAAAGATTTATATGAACCAATGCTGAGTGAAGTGAGCAGAACCAGGAGAAAGTAGTACACAGCAACAGCCACATTGTGCGATGATTGACTTTGATAGACTTGGCTCTTCTCAGCAATGCAAGGATCTAAGACATTTCCAAAAGTCTCATGATGGAAAATGCTATTCACATCCAGAGAAATAACTATGGAGTTGGAATGCAGATCGAAGCATACTATTTGCTCTTTTTTTTCTCTTCTCTTCTGTTTTGTTTCTTCTTTCTTGTGGTTCCACCCATTAGTTCTAATTCTTTTTTACATCATGACTAATGTGAAAATATGTTTAATACAAATGTGTAAGTATCGCCTATATCAGATTGCACACCGTCTTGGAGAGGGGGGAGGAGAGGAAGGGGGAGAAAATTTAAAACTCAAAATCTTACGGAAGTGAATGTTGAAAATTAAAAATAAATTAATTTTTAAAAATTCATTAAAACAATTAAAAACACTCTAGAATCCATAATTTCCATTAGTTTATATAAACCTTGCTTTCAAATAGTCAAAACCAATCAAGTTTTATGCTGCATCTTGAATTATAGTAGGACAAAATCTAAAACCTCATCCTGGGAGCTTGGTGAATCACCCTCACGGGTAAATGTTTAGGTAACATCTGAGTAAAAGTCATAGTGACTTGGTTGTCCTTTCATCTGTCTTGGTGAGGAAGGAGGGTAGTAGCTGAGAAACGTTTGCTAAATGAGAAATGGTTGTTAAATGTAGCAGATAAAGGAATGTCACTGTGGGTCTATAATTCCTTCTCTGATGCAGTGATGTGGGATGGCACATAAAATGCACACTGTCCACTGGGGCCCACAAAAGCAGGGCCATGGGCATTTTTGGTAACTTGGTAAATTTTTAGAACTAGTAGGCAAAAATGGTTATATTATGATTGATATATTTGGTAATATTTTTGGCCAACATAGTGTAAGCTGAATAGAGCTCTCAAGCTTTCTTTCCTCACACTAAAGCAGTAATATCACAAAATAAGACGGAAATAGAAGTTTTTCTACTCATCTTAATTCCTCCACTGAGTGTTGTCATATGAATCAGCGCCACTAAGAATTTTATGCCAGAAGGTGAGGAAGGTGTGGAGAAAGGAAGGAGAGAAAAAAAGGAAGGGAAGAACAGAAAAAGGGGGAGGAAGAAAAATCAAGAGTGAAAGAAAGGAGAGCCCAGGGAATGAAGGAAGTCACTGCTTGAGATACGACTGGTGAAAGGATAAATGACAATAAAACCATGTATGGGTCCATGTGTGTTACTGACCTAGTCCACAAACATCCCAGTGGGAGACTGAGACTCTCAGAGTGGACAGGATGAAAGAAGCCAACCAGCCTCTGAATCACCTCGATAATCTCTTCTACCTGTGGCCATCCATTCTTCCTACACTTCCTTGGACAGAATAACCGATTTTGAGCTGGAAAAGACCGTGGACGTCACCATGCCCAACCCTGTC